TGTTTATTCTTGATTATTTGTTAATTAATCTCGTTATTAGCATGATTAGTGAGTAATTTCCCCATTAAGGGGATGGTTGTGGTGTAGTTGGATCTTGAGCATGTTCTAGGGTTTAGAATTGATTTATTTGTGATTAAAGTCTTTATATGCTTGATATTCTTTAATCTTCTTGCAAGTGCACATTGTTAGTTGATTAAAGGTGAATCTTTGCTAACAAGAAACGGAAGTTGACTTAGTTAAGGTTCATTACTATCGATTGTTATTTAATAGTACCTCCTAGTATATGGTGAATGTGGAAACATAGAGGCTATGTTAGGAGAAGCCAATTGACCCCGGAAGGCGCCTAGATTGGACCCTTTACTTCGATATTCATGCATGTTTAGTTCATAATTAATTCAATTTCTATGTCTTTGTTTATGTTCAAGTGAATGCTATACCTAAACCATTTCCCTTAATGTTTTATTTCTTGTTTTAGCATCTTTAGACTTTAGTTTATTTATCTCCTATTCCGGACTACCTTAATTGTTGATAACATTTGGTGGTGTTTATCCGTTCTCTGTGGTTCGACCCCTATGCTTGCCTTATACTCGTATTAGGTTTGTTTAGGTTGTATAAATTGTATTTGATTTAGGGATAGACAATTGACGACGCGTTTATTCCCTTGTCACCATGTCTTTATCTTGGCCCTATGGTGACCCCATTTTTAATGGAGAGTAGTGGAAACAAGTAGAGATAAGCTTTTCAGGTCTAGAAGCATATTCATGACGGGGCATGAGTGAAGAGCGAATCATGCTAGTTTTCATTAGTTACGATGTGTTTTATGCTTTACTTATTTATGATATTATTTATATGTGGAACTAACGTTAAGTTTTGGATTTGGTTTGGTTTTTAATAAGGGCCTTTAATGGTTCCAAGTTGTAGGTTGACTTATATTTGACTTCGTTTGATTTGGTTTTAACTTTACTTTCGTTTGGATGACTTTTGAATTGACTTGTTTTAAACTGTTTTTGATTTTAAGTCTTCCGCTGTGTATCTTTGATAGTTGTCTTAATCGTTTTTACGGTGGCGGTAATGTCTTAGATATTCCTAAATCGTATTTTAATGAGAAGAATAGGTATTTAAAGGAAAGGGATTTCTAAAGTGTTACACAAAGTGACGGGTCCCTAACTCCCTATTGAGTTCAAGACGAAAGTCACTTGATAGGTGAGGGATCATAGCTTGATGTCCACTATGTGTTAATTCAAGTTGCGAGACATTGACACTTATGCAATTGTTTTGTTTTTTCCCAGAATTCATTTTTTCCTTCCTTTCTTTTTTCATATCTTCGAACATGTGGGGGATTGTTGGAAGTTCTAGATATAAAACAAGAGAGTTGGGGAAGATCCAGAGAGAGAGAAAAACAAATGAATGGGGAAAAGTCTCACATTGGTTGTGGGGAAAGGTTTTGCCTTGTTTTTGTATTGTAGTGCCTTAACACTACTTAGTTGGGTGACTGGGAGGTATGTGTTACACCACACACACGCGCGCGCGCGAGCCGAGCCTGGTCGGGTCGGGTCGGGCCTCAGGACTTGGGGTCTTAGGGAATGCGATGCGCGGGCATGGGTCCTTGTTATCTTTTTGGACAAATTTTATTTCCTTTTCTTTGTTAACAGAATAATCCTAAGTATCCGTTTTTTACTGTAGGGATTTTCTGATTGTTGCGGAAATTAATCAGCCATTAATCCCTTGTTTTTAGCTGACTAATTCACTCCCTTGTTTATTTCTCTTGACTGACCAAGTTCATCTTGTCAGTTTTTTGGCTAAGTTCTTCCCACGTTTTATGCTACCCGTTTTTATCTTCTGCCTATAAATACTCGGTGGTTTTTCCTAGCCAAAAACACACAACAACGATCAGTCTTCTCTCTTCTCTAAAAATATCTAAACACGAATTCTTTCTGTTTTGTTTTCTAGGCGAGTATTCTGAGTTCCAGTCGGGTTTGTGAGTACACATAAAACTTCGGCGCCGTGCTTATCCTGGAGGGCAACCGCTTCTAGTCTACTGCACCGGGAGGTATTTAGGTCAGTGGTTCTCCACGACGCGGCTATTGTCAGTTTGGTTCACGCATCAAGAGATCAGTAATTTATGTTTTATTGCTTCTAGTCTACTGCACCGGGAGGTATTTAGGTCAGTGGTTGTCCACGACGCGGATATTGCTTAATAGTATAAAAATAAATAAATAAATAACGAGTACATATGTAATTGGGGTGAATAATGATTTTTTAAAAGTTTTTTAATAAAGTTAGTGGAGTGTTGAGTGATAACAACCGTTGATATGCATGGAGGGTTGTGATAAGCCCAACTCTACATGGTAGAGTTTTCCTCCAACTCTAGAGGATCCGTCGATCCGGACACTGGGAATGATCCCTCAATTTCAAGGCATAAAAATCTATAGCTGTACATATTAATCGGGTGTCAAAATGGATTTCCATTTTGGGTCTCATTTATCAATTGGGCCATCAAGTCCAATAGCCTTAAGTCATGACCAATATCATCAAAATCAGTCCAAAGGCATGCTAAAGTTCATCCAAGGAGCCCATGCGCTTAGGGGTTGATACATTTCCTAAGAGTCACGTTATTTACAATCCATGGATATCAATATTCCAAATTTTAATATTTTAAGGTACCCATTTTTAGCCTTAATCACTTATATTCTCTTAATACTCTCTAGGTTAATACTCTCTTAATTTTTAAAAGTTGTGTATGGTGCTCCTAAGTCCTAACATAACATATAATTGTATTTTGGGTTCTTAAAGCTTGTCTATGGAGCAACTACTACTCATTCTTGTTTAATAAGTTACTTAAACTAATTAATTAAGTTGAACCTGCATGTATATATATATTCTGAAATTCATGGGGTAGATATTATTATAAGCACTAAGCTTTTGACCAAGTATGTTAAACTTTATAAGTAAGTTTTCTTTTCCATTTCCAATGTTAATAAACACATTTTCATAGTTCATTCTAGTACATTACACACACAATTGGTTGGTAATAAAATCTTGCACATAATGACGGAACCTGCAAGATTATGCGGTTCTTAATTTATCAAAAAGATGGGCCATTTTTAACAAAACAATACTCCTTTCCTTACTAAAAGTTCGGCTCTTTTGGCCTAATTTTAGTTTCAAAATAATCGACCTATTTGCATTAAAATATCCACTCATTTACAACAATATTTGTGTAAAATTAACTTTCCTATAAAAACCCCATGTAAATTTATCTTTCCAATATACTTTTACTTCTTTTTTATTTAACTTTTTAATATCCGCGAAATCAACTCAAAAGGGTCATTCTTTTGGAGACGCAGGGAATAATATTATTAGGAGAAATAATGAAGCTACTACTAAACATTTTCTTTGGGAAAGTACTAGTATTACTTTTTGTCTTAAATAATATGATACCGTTCTTTTTAAATTGACATTTATAAATTATAATATATGTCAATTAGGGGTGTTCAAATCCAGGTACCCGGAGTTTCGAGTAATTGTTAATTCGTCCATGTCCCGACCCGAATATCTCGGGTACCCAAATTATTCAGGTAGGGACATAGGGTACCCGGATTTCTTTTATCTTTTTTAAATAGCAATAAAAAAACTGCTGTAATTTAATTTTTAAAACTGCTACATTTTTTTAAAAAAAAATTCCAGATTTAACCTGACCCGAATTACCCGACCCGAGACTCAAAATTGACCCGAACCCGAATTAACCTGACCTAAACCCAAACTAACCCGACCCGAAATGGAGTTGACCCGATGCCCAAAATGACTCGACCCGAAATTGACCCGAAACCTGAACTTGACCTGACCCAAAGTGACCCGACCCAATTTTAACCCGAATCGACCCGACCCGAAGTGACTCGATTCCTAAAGTGAATAGGGTGAAATGGTTAATTACTTAATTTAGGGCTTCTTTCTTTCCAAATAACTAATAGGTACTCACTTTTTTTTTAACGATTTTATTGTATTTTCCAACTATTTTTTGTAAGTGAATCTGTTTTGATGACCCGACACAAACTTGGCTCGACCCGAATTGACTCGACCCAAAAATTGACTCAACTTGAACTTGACCTGACCCGATCAGAACTTGACCCAACCTGATCAGAACTTGACCCAACCCGAATATTTGTCGATCCGAAATTAACACGGCTCGAATTGACCTGACCCGAACCCGACCCGAACGACTCGTTTGCCAAGTCTAGTATAAAATATAATAAGTATTTTTTTATGAAAATGTATAATATGAATTTTTTTTAAGTAGAAATCATTATAGATAATCAAATTTTTAAGTAAGGGTTTGTTTGGAATTGCTGTGGTTTTCTGTTTTTTAAAAGTATATATGTATACCCCATTAAAAAAAAAAAAAAAAAAAAAAACTGAAAACAAAAATGATGCCAAACAAGCCGTAAAATGTGAAATTTGTTTAAAAAATAACGTGCAAACAAATTTTTTTTTTTATTCTTTCAATATATATATATATATATATATATATATATATATCCTGCTCACTTTTTATATTTTTGTATCCCCAAACAGGCAAACATTCATCATTTAGTTAAAGTAACATAAAGGATTATTAATTTTTAGGATGACTAGTGGAAAAAATCTCATTCGTAACAGGCTATTTGTAACGGGCAAAGCTTTGCTCGTTACAATTAAGATATTCGTAACGGGCAAAATAATGTCCGTTACGAATACTTATTTATTCGTAACGGGCAAAATAGTGTCCAATACGAATACGTACACGTATTCGTAACGGACAAATTAGTGCCCGTTACGAATAAATAAGTATTCGTAACTAACAAATTAGTGCCCGTTACAAATAAATACGTATTCATAACGAACACTATTTTGTCCGTTACGAATACTATATTACACGTAAATGCCCAAACTTGGCCCAACTGATGAGAGGAGCCCAATACTTGGCTTTTTAGGGTTTCACCTCATTCTCTCTCATCAGTCCCTCACTCCCTCTTCTCTCTCCTCCCATCTCCTCCCCGTCATTCACCTCTTTCTCTCATTTCAAACTCAAGCCCTCTCATTTCGAGGAGCAACGAGAAGATCTCTGTTCTTTTGGTGGTTAACTTGAGCAGCGATTGCGTTCATCTTGAGACGAGCAACTTGACCGGCGGCTTCATACAAGAGCTCCCAAGCGGCGTCGTTTTTGGGCGGAGGTGTAACCGGCGGTGACGGAACTCTTGGTGAATTCTAATTTGCTTTATTTTTTTTCTTCATGCTATTTGTATTTGATTCATTTTTGGCATTTGGGGTGACATTGGGTAGTTTTGGGCATTTATGTATGAAAACACACATGATACTGCATTTCCATGGATATAAGGATGTCACTTATCATGTTAAATACTCTTAATTTATTCCCGTAACCAATTGCTATTTTCTTTTTTTTTCTGGGTTTTTATGTAATTTTTGTAGATCTACGCTTGTTTTTTTAAAATTTAAGGAATTTAGCTTGTTGGGTTTTTCTTTCAAATCACTTTAATTGTCTTTTGGTTGTGTTATTTGATATGATTTTCTTGAGATTAGTTGATGGGATTTCTGGGTTTTTGAATTTGGTTCTGGAATTGGGTATTTGGGATTTTTTTGGAGGTGGGGGTTGTGTTAATTGTCATTAGTTTTTCCGTTTGAATTGATGTTATGATTTCGGGTATGAACTATTGTAATGCTTGTTCTTTGGGTTTTCACTTCCTTTGTTATATTCAACTATAATCTGTAGTGCTTTAGTGACTGTCTCTTAACTTCCCCAATTGTCTGCAGTGTGCATCTGGTGGAATTATGTGGAACGGGTGAATATTTCGCCATGAAGGCAATGGATAAAAATGCAATGCTCAATCATAATAAGGTATCAAAATTATTGTACTGTATACTATATGTTCTGTTATTTTGGTTATTTGGTCTTTCAAGTCCAATCTCCAATCTGCTGCAAATTATATAAGGCCATGATAGACCTTTTATTATAGGATGCTGCACTACTGATGTCACTTATAAGTTAGTTATATATGTTAATGTCAAAATTTTGAAGTGCTTGCTATACTCCTTAAGCCTTAAAGGAACTCGACCTTTTGACTCTGAACTCTGAAGCTCGTGTCTTGATATTTTCCTGTGCTCACTTTGTCTGCCAATTTTGTTGTAGGTACACAGAGCTATTGAAGAAAGGGAAATTCTTGACATGTTGGACCACCCTTTTCTCCCTGCATTATATGCTTCATTTTAGGTAAGGCAAAGCAGTTCCACGTACACTATCTGGCTATTACCTGAAAAGCGATAGACAAATTTAGAGTTAGATATGGCTATTACCTGAAAGAGTTGGCTATTGGCTCCTGTCCGACTATATTGTTGTCTACATTTTTTTTGAATGTTTGCTACATCTGAAAACTTTTGTTTGCCATGATAGAAAAACATTGCCATGTTCATAGTGGCTTTTTTCTTTGACTGGTATGCTGATTAATTTTATCTACTACTAGTAATTCATTTTTGGTAAATTTTTGCAGACAAAAACACACGTTTGTCTGATGACTGACTACTTCCCTGGTGGGGAGCTATATTTACTTCTGGATGGACAACCAACAAAGGTCTTGAAAGAAGATGCAGTAAGGTAAATTTTGAGTGTGTCGTAAATAGACAGTAATGCTTGTTTTAATTGTCATGACATTAGTGTCGTAATAATGCTAGATGAAGATTGAAGAAATGGTTTCATTAAATTGGGGTGTTCTTCTTGCTCTCAACCTAACTCATTCTAAATTAGGATCACCTGTTACTTTGTAATGTCAAAGGAGTTAATGCTACAAAGTTATTCTTCGGCTCTCCAATTACTTTTGGGTATCATGAGATCAAATAGTATCTACCAATAGAGTAATGGTTGTCAACTGTCCTTGACATGGCCTTATTTTGATAATTTAAGTCTTGTGGGGGATGATGGTTCAAGTTGCCCAAAATTTGGCTGATTTTGCCGTTGCTGCTGGAATGAAGCATGTTATTGTGCTTTATAACTTGGACTTTTTGCGATGGAAAAAATTTCGATATGTCATTGTATCTTAGCCTTTCTTTTTAGGTTTTTAACTTGTAAAGTTGTAATCAAAGTAAGAGGATATAGGCTCGGCTATCATGAATTGCAATCAAAGTTCCAAACAACTTTTAACAACCATGTAGCTTTCTCTGCTTAAGTTTTGAGCTAGTGCCTGAATTACAATGAATAATTCTGAATAGTTCAGTTGGCCATTTTGCCTTTTGTTATTGATATGAATGTTATGTTATGTAACGTGATTTATTTTGGTGATTTTTTCAGTGGAATGCCTATACATTTCCACTCAAGCACCAATGCAGACGGAACTAATTATGATTGTGAAAATCTTGGATGGAAACGACTGCAAGAGTACACTTCTTTTCAAGGGTGGGTAGTATTTTAGCACAGTTGCTGAGGGGAATGTCGTCGAGGAAAATTATATTCCTTTAGATGATCTAGAAAAAGAAGATTATCATGCCAGTTCGCCTTTGCTGCACTATATACTTGCTTAAAGGTACATTTGTGAATCCTTTTGCCTTTAGGTGAAGGTTATGCAAGATCTTTATGAATTTATATTGCAAGGCTAGGTTTTGGGAAGTAGTTTGCAGAAGTTTATAATTCGATGTTGCTCCATAACTAATATTTATTCTGTGTGTTTTCCTTTGGAACTGTGTATTACACACAAAGAACTTTTATGTTGCAAATATAAACTAGATTTTGTGCTTTTATTTTATACAACATACTAAAATATTTTGCTTACTGTGCCATGAGCAACAAGTTGCCTCTTTTTATCTAGTCAGATTTGAAGGCGACTAGCTTCTTGGTAAGTTGATGATTGAAGCATATGGTTTTTGTTCTTTCGGAACACCCAATCCTTTCTACTCTGCCCCTTTTTCATCTTTAGTTTTGCATAGATGCTATTTGCATACTCCTAGAATTTATTTTCTTTACGACTGATTTTCCAAATTGTCATGACTGAATTTATTATACTTTGTATGCTATCTTTCATGTTTCAGGGAGACCTCAAGTTGACAGGAAAGAATTCGTTTGCTAAGTCAGGTATAAACAGTTGTTTTCTCATTTTCTATTGCTGAAGGCTAAACCAACAATGCTTTTTGCAGCCCGCCGATTCTTTATGAGGGGGACAATATAAAGAGGGGGACAATAGGTATTAAGTTATGGTGAACCTTGATATTGTAGAACTAACTCAAAAAGTAAACTTTCACTCCACCAATAGTCATAAAATGAAGCTTTTATGAATATGAAACCTGAGTTATTTCAGGGGCCTACATATTACTAATTTAAGGTATAGATCATCTATAGTATGTAAATCAATTACATTACATTACTTATTACTAATTTAAGTTCTAGATCATCTATAGTACTTTGTCAGTTTGTCTTCAAAAACTAAGGTTAGGTTTTACTGCTCTATATAACTAATGTCGCTTATTTTCTTCAGCACCTATAGATTCTGATGGTTCCCCAGTTACATTTTCTTGGAGTGGTGATTCTAGAAGAAATGTTGCTACAATATGGTGTTGTAAATGATGCCGCTGCAATTACTCCTTTTGGATGCTGCTGTTTCTCTTTATTTACTATTTTTTTTACAATATCATTGAGATGTAAAATGGGATTTAGTGCTTGATAATATGTAAAATTGGATTTGGTCTTTGATAATATGTAAGATTGGAGTTGATATATGTTATTATAGTTAATTTATGGATGGTGAATGGATAAAGATAGGGGTATTTGTAACTGGCACCTTTAATGTGCCTGTTACAAATACCCCTAAAATTTTGCCTTTTTTAGACATTAATTGTAACGGGCAACATAAATGCCCGTTACAAATAACTAGTTATTCGTAACAGGAATTGTACATGTCCGTTACAAATAAGGGGTTATTCGTAATGGGCATTGTACTTGTCCGTTACAAATAAGGAGTTATTTGTAACGGACATTGTACTTGTCCGTTACAAATAAGTGGTTAGGCGTAACGGGCATTGTAATTGTCCGTTACAAATAAAGGGTTATTCGTAACGGATATTTCACCTGCCCGTTATGAATAACTACTTATTTGTAACAGACACTGCCCGTTACAAATAACATTGCCTATCCGTAACGGCCGCCGCCTGTTACGGATAGGATGTTTTTGCCCGTTATTTACAATCCATGGATATCAATATTCCAAATTTTAATATTATAAGGTACCCATTTTTAGCCTTAATCACTTATATTCTCTTAATACTCTCTAGGTTAATACTCTCTTAATTTTTAAAAGTTGTGTATGGTGCTCCTAAGTCCTAACATAACATATAATTGTATTTTGGGTTCTTAAAGCTTGTCTATGAAGCAACTGCTACTCATTCTTGTTTAATAAGTTACTTAAACTAATTAATTAAGTTGAACCTGCATGTATATATATATTCTGAAATTCATGGGGTAGATATTATTATAAGCACTAAGCTTTTGACCAAGTATGTTAAACTTTATAAGTAAGTTTTCTTTTCCATTTCCAATGTTAATAAACACATTTTCATAGTTCATTCTAGTACATTACACACACAATTGGTTGGTAATAAAATCTTGCACATAATGACGGAACCTGCAATATTATGCGGTTCTTAATTTATCAAAAAGATGGGCCATTTTTAACAAAACAATACTCCTTTCCTTACTAAAAGTTCGGCTCTTTTGGCCTAATTTTAGTCTCAAAATGATCGACCTATTTGCATTAAAATATCCACCAATTTACAATAATATTTGTGTAAAATTAACTTTCCTATAAAAACCCCATGTAAATTTATCTTTCCAATATACTTTTACTTCTTTTTTATTTAACTTTTTAATACCCGCGAAATCAACTCAAAAGGGTCATTCTTTCGGAGACGCAGGGAATAATATTATTAGGAGAAATAATGAAGCTACTACTAAACATTTTCTTTGGGAAAGTACTAGTATTACTTTTTGTCTTAAATAATATGATACCGTTCTTTTTAAATTGACATTTAAAATTATAATATATGTCAATTAGGGGTGTTCAAATCCAGGTATCCGGAGTTTCGGGTAATTGTTAATTCGTCCATGTCCCGACCCGAATATCTCGGGTATCCGGGTTTCGGGTACCCAAATTATTCGGGTAGGGACATAGGGTACCCGAATTTCTTTTATTTTTTTTAAATAGCAATAAAAAAAACTGTTGTAATTTAATTTTTAAAACTGTTACATTTTTTTTTAAAAAAAAATCCAAATTTAACCTGACCTGACCAGAGACTCGAAATTGACCCGAACCCGAATTAACCTGACCTAAACCCAAACTAACCCGACCCGAAATGGAGTTGACCCGATGCCCAAAATGACTCGACCCGAAATTGACCCGAAACCTGAACTTGACCTGACCCAAAGTGACCCGACCAAATTTTAACCTGAATCGACCCGACCCGAAGTGACTTGATTCCTAAAGTGAATAGGGTGAAATGGTTAATTACTTAATTTAGGGCTTCTTTCTTTCTAAATAACTAATAGGTACTCACTTTTTTTTAACGATTTTACTGTATTTTCCAACTATTTTTTGTAAGTGAATATGTTTTGATGACCCGACACAAACTTGGCTCGACCCGAAAATTGACTCAACTTGAACTTGACCTGATCCGATCCGAACTTGACCCAACCCGAATATTTGTCGATCCGAAATTAACACAGCTCGAATTGACCTGACCCGAACCCGACCCGAACGACTCGTTTTCCAAGTCTAGTATAAAATATAATAAGTATTTTTTTATGAAAATGTATAATATGAAAAAAATTTAAGTATAAATCATTATAGATAATCAAATTTTTAAGTAAGGGTTCGTTTGAAATTGCTGTGGTTTTCTGTTTTTTGTTTTTTAAAAGTATATATGTATACCCCATCTTGAAAAAAAAAATGAAACAAAAATGATGCCAAACAAGCCATAAAATGTGAAATTTGTTTAAAAAATAACGTGCAAACAATTTTTTTTTTATTCTTAAAATATAATATATATATATATATATATATATACGGGAGGGTTCCGCTAAAAACAGGGCTTATGGTGAAAACTAAAAACAGCAAATCTCAGCCATAGATTATTAATGATATAATCTAACGGTTGAAATACAAGGTACACAAAATCTTAGCAAATCTCAGCAAATCCTCTGTTAATTTTGCTGAAAAACGCAAAATCTCAGCAAATCTCAGCAAATCCTCTTTTCATCTCATTATCAAATCGTCAATTCCTCAATTCGTCAAATTTTAGGGCTACTTTGATTATTTACTCCCAAAATTGAGGGCTCGTGATTCTTCAATAATTTGGGGCTTCCTCAATAATCTTAGTAAGTGTTCTTCATTCTTTAATTTCTGTTTTTAGCTGAATTTCTAGTTGATTGCGGCTTACAATACCGATATAACTGTGATTATTTCCTTGTATATAAGCTGAATTTCTTGAATTTCTATTTGATTGCGCATGGTAGGTTATTTCCTTGTATGTGATTATTGTAGACTGTTTTTATAATAGTGCTCTGTTTTTTAGTTTCAATCTCATCAACTTGTAGTTTCAATCCTCATCAACAATATGCTCTTTTTTCGTTTTTGTATAAATATTTGCAATATATATATAATTTTTTTATATTAAAGTTTTTTTTTCCTGGATATATGATATTAAACACTAGGAGAAATTGTTGCACATAAGGTGTTTGTGTATTTGCTTAAATGACTAACACCTTGCTTAGTACCATATAGTAACTCTTTTTTATGATACCATAACCATATATTTTAGACTGTTTTTGTTGGTGTCCAGTTAGTTGCACCATGGAATGGATTATTTTATTATAGTACCCATTTTAAACCATATATTTGATATTATATGCAGACAATGCAAGAGGAGTCAGAAGAAGGTAGTTGCTCAAATACATCTACAACTACCAATGTTGCTGAAAACTTACCGTCACTAAAGGGCCCAAGTGTGTGTTACACTCCCAGAGGAACAAAAGAGTTTATACCGTGTTGTCCCCCTGAACTAAAGCCTACACTTGGTATGCTTTTTGATTCCTTACTTAAAGGTGTTGATTTTTATAAGCAATATGCTAGATTTGGTGGGTTTGTGGTAAGACTAGGTACTGAAAAGAGAATTAAAGATAGTGATAAAGTCTACTTGAAATATTTACATTGTAATAAACAAGGGTTTACGAAGGATGGTGAAACTAAAGCAAAAGTTTCTAACAAAGATAAAAATCCTAAAGCTAGAAAAAGAACCATAAATCGTGTTGGATGTAATGCAATGATTGGGTTTAGAGAACGTTCAGATGGAAAATGGATGGTTTATGTCTTTCATGAATCTCATAGCCACAATCTTGCTTCTCCCAACACAATGAATTTTTTGGCAAATGTTGGAAACCTTAAACTTGGCCAGAAAAAATTCATTTTTGACAACTCTAGATTGAACATTGGTCCAAACAAGTCTTATAAGTTGATGAAAGAACATCTTGGTAGCTATGATAATATAGGTGCAACATTGAATGATTTCAAGAACTTTAATCGAGACTTGAAAGCTTACATACAAGAGAAAGATGCTTCGATGTTTATAAACAATTTGAAAGAAAAAGCTGAAAACAGTGAAGGTGCCTTTTTCTTTGAGCATTGTATGGATGAACATCAACGCTTGACAAGAGTATTTTGGGCAGATGCAATTAGTAGAAAAAATTATTCGTTGTTCTGTGATATGATTACATTTGATACAACATTTGACACCAACAAATACTCTATGGTTTTTGCCCCATTTACGGGTGTTGATCACCATGGTAAGTGTGTGACTTTTGGGATAGGCTTACTTGCAAAGGAGGATATTGAATCCTTTGAATGGTTATTTGAAACTTTCTTAAAGGCAATGAATAACTGTCAGCCTACCTGTATCATGACAGATCAAGACCCTGCGATGAAAGTGGCAATTGAAAAAGTTCTTGATAAGGCAAAACATAGGTTTTGTATGTGGCACATTATGAAAAAAGTGCCACAAAAGGTAGGGCCCAAATTATGCTTAGAAACTGATTTTCTTCATAAACTAAACTCTGTTGTGTGGAATAGAGACCTTGAACCAGAAGAATTTGAAATTGGTTGGCAGTCTGTGATGTCTGAATTTGATTTAGTGAATGAAGATTGGTTCAAAAATATGTATAATATAAGGAATATGTGGATTCCTTCCTACTTTCGTGATCTTTTTATGGGTGGGATTTTAAGGTCAACTCAAAGATCAGAGAGTGAAAATAGCTTTTTCACTAATTTCACCAATCAACATTTGTTATTGGTTGAGTTGTGGTTTCGCTATGAATCTGCAATCGATGCTCAAAGGCACACACAAGACAAGTTGAATGCTACTTCAAAAACTACACATCCCCAACTTGTCACCCCCCTGTACTTGGAAAAGCATGCTGCATTTGCTTACACTCATAATGTATTTTACATATTCCAAAAGGAATTCAAGCATGCTTTGTACAATTGTGGTATAAGTAATGTTACCATCAAAGAAGAAGAAGGGATTGAGCAATATAGAATTGTTGACAACACAAGGAAAAAAAGCTATCATGTCACATATGTTTTGTGTTCTAATGATGCTTCATGCTCTTGTAAAATGTTTGAATCTGTTGGAATATTATGTCGTCACATTCTCTTTGTCATGAAAGGAAAGTTCTTATTTGAGATTCCAAGACAATATGTTTTACATCGTTGGACTAAAGAAGCTATGAAGAAACCAATTTTTGGCTTAAACAACTTGCTTGATGGGGCAGAGAAGGATAAGAAGCAAAAGCTAGTTGGTGATTTATGGTGCAGGTTTTTTTCATGTGTAAGTCTTTGTGAGGAGAAAGTTGAATGCCTAGAGTCATTGTTGTCTAAGCTAATATCTTTTGAAAATGAGATGAAAGACTTGGATTCTATAAGTCCAGTTGATAAACGTGAGGCAAAAAATAAACACATCGAATTATTTGTTGGATCTAATGACATAGTTGTTGATATTCTTCCTCCAAACAAGTCTTCCAACAAAGGTAGTGGTAGTGGAAAAAGGAAAAAATCTGACAAAGAGATAGCTATTGAGGAAAGCCAAAGGAAAGATAGACTTTGTAGAACTTGTGGTCAGAGAACAAACCATGATAGTCGGAATTGTCCGCAAAAAAAATCCAACTTGAATGAGGTATTTTTGTAGAAAAAAATAAATAAATTTTGTACTATGTTTACTTCCCACTAGATTTTCACTTTATATATGTTCGTGTACATGATTTCAGGATTTCAAAGAAGAGTAGAAAGGCTGCAAAACCACTTCATATTTACAAGAAGCAACATCGGCTACTGACAGCCTAGTGCTGAAATAGAGGAGATGAGAGGAAAGAAAGAACATAGTGCTATAGTGCCCTTTTTATTGATATAGTGATTGTTATTGTTTCACATATATTAAACAGGGACCTTTTATTGTTAAAATTTTATTGATAGGGTGACCTTTTATTGTTAAACTTTTTATTGACCTTTATATTGTTATTTTGATGTAGTGACATATTGGCATATGATAACTTCAATTTATATTATAGTATGTGTTTTTAACGTCATAGTGACTTTTTTTCATCGTATTGACACCTTATTCCGTGATAACCTTTTTAGTGATATAATGACCTTTATTATGATATAACAACCGTATAAAAAATACTCACATTTTAACAATTCTTCTAATCCACATCGATTAAGCCAATACAAAGTTAGGGAAGGAGGGGCTCGTTCTTTTAATTGATATACTAAATGAATAGCTTAAGAATAGATTAATATAAATACGACACTTTTACCTTACATAGTGACCTTTTATTTAAATAGAGACAGATTATTATAGAAATCTTTTTTATCACATAGTAACGCTCTTGCATCTCATAGTGATCCTTTTGCATCGCATAGTAATTGGAAATTTTTACCTCATATAATGCCATTTTACTTACATAATGACTATAAAAAGTAATATAATATCCTTTTTCAAGTTTTTTTTTTTCTTTTTTAAGAGATAAAAAAAAGTTAGACATTTTTAGGTACATATTTATCATAGGTCCTTTGAAAACTTGTCACATATGTATATAAAATATAATAATGAATATGGTGATAATTTTGCATTATAACTTAATTATATATAACACATTGAACTAATAACATTTTAAATACATAGTGACCTTATAATATAGAAACCTTTTAAATAACATAGATACCTTTTTAAATACATAGTGACCTTATCATATAGAAACCTTTTTAAATAACATAGGTACCATTTTTTTATAACATAGGCGCCAAATTTATAACTAATATATATTTCACTAAACTTCTTGAATGTCAATTAAAGATTACATATCAAAAGAACTACCAATACCACCAATTCAAAAGCTTTGTATGAACTGGAATCATATCATATTGTTCTATATTAACACTTATACAATTTTGTTAGATTATCCATTTGTTGATGCAAACTACATCATTACATTAGATTTCCTACTTCTGTGCAAAATACAAATACTTCCGAGCAAAAAACTTCATCCACATATTCATTAGTCTGCCTATACTTTCTTTTCCTTTTTACCTTGCTTTGTTTTCTTCTTAATCCCATCAAAAACATCTTTTGCAACTTGACTCCTTATTAATCTGAATTCAGATAGCTTTTCAAGAACTTCATCTCTGACAATGTTCATATCAGATAATACCAGAGTAGCAGCAATCTGAGCTCTCAATGTCCGTCTAGTTGAAACCTAATATATTAATTTAAGCAAAAATTAGAATAAAAAAGCTAGTTAAATTCCATGGAGGAAATAGTTAATATAATAAAAATTGAAAGCCAAATAAAAAAAATGAGACGAGATAACCGTTTTCAAAACATTGCAGTCGAACACATCAGCTCCATCAAAGTAAAGCATGCTGACCATAGTATAAATGCCACTATCATTATTCTTCTGTTTTCCAGACTTCCAATTTACAGAAGGTGACTCCAAAGTATACTCAATCATGTTCTTCACTGAGTCATTACTTTGAGGAAGGCGTTGATCAAGAAAAGTACTCAGCATATCACTCTAGGAAAAATAAATTAATACTTTAGGTTCCATGAAGCATATCCTAACTAGAAAAATACAAATAAAATCCAAAATATCATATTTTTACCAGAACATCAGAGAACTTCTCAACCTCACTCATGTACTTTGTATCATAACTCATATTATCAATGAACTGAAGCTTTTCTTCCTTCAAATTCACAACAATTAGGAAAAAGTGCTCATTCAAGAGTATAGGAACAAATATCTGCAATAAATAAATAAACAACTATTAAGCTTGAAAAACTTAATATAAAAGTACTTAGTTGAAAAATGATTGTCAACATTTGCAATGTATTACCAACTCAACATTTGCAATATCAAAATCATTGCAAGGAATGAACAACCATCTTGACCAAATGTCAAATAGCTTGTCAATGTCTTGTGTGTTACTATCTGTGTTTGCAACTTTCAGTAAAAAAGCCTAAAAAAGAACAAACATTAATAAATATTAAAAAAATTAGAAGGTAGAGTTATTTTTCTTAAAAGTAATTACTTGCATTACATAGTGACTGTTTTCATTGCATAGTGAAATTAATTTATGAATCATAGTGACTGTTTTCAATACATAGTGAAATTAATTTATGAATTTTTTATAATGAACAACTACCATTATAATGATGTAGTAACTAAATAGCCGAAAGATACTTACACTTTGAGAAACACCAAAATATAGTTTTTGAGGTCCATGTGCACTACTCTTCTGGTTTTCATTAAGCAACATAGCCCAACAATCAATAATAACAGAAGATATAGCAATAGCCGGTGCACCTAATGAAAGGAATTCATTCCTTGTAATCTCAAATGGTTTGCCAAAAGATACCAACACCTCACTGTACAAGGAAATAAAAAGACACATGTATATTAACATAGTCACTTATTATTAAAATTTGAAAATAAATAACAAAAAAAAACAATGACATGACTTACTTGAGATCGAAACCATGATAATCACTAATGCAGTAGTCAACAAGTTCCTGGACAACTGCATCCAAAACCTTCATATCCTTACTACTTGACTTCATATATTCAGTTACATATGTAACTTTATCACCAAAGAGACTAACATCCATAGCAAGGGAGCATTTAGATTTTCCATTACTCAAAACATGCTCAAAACCTATCCTTGGAACCTCACCAACTACAACATTAATCTCTTTTGCAGGTGCACCATTATCATCAATATCATCATCATCCAAACCATTAGGCACTTTGCTTACCCAATTTACAAGAGACACAATCTCATCAACAATTTCATGAACACGAGGATTCATAAAGAATAAATCAGTTTGGGACATTGGAGGTGTCGAAGTTGAAGCATCATTAGATTTACGAGTCTGAAATAACACTTTCAACTCATTCATGTAGAAGTTAGATACCACTTCTAAATCTCTTTTCATGAGCAAAAACTTCTCATAAACTTCCTGTGAAAAAAAAATGTAGCACTTAGATTTAATAAAATAATTTGTGACAAAAAAAAAAAAAAAAAAAAAAAAAAAAAAAAAAAAAAAGAAAAAACCAAACAGACAGACAGAATTAAAGGGTAAAATACTTACATCAATAGCAATTGAACGGATTTCCTCATTAGACATTGAACTGGCAGGTAGCTCAAACTGAATAACACCCTTAACATTGCTACGGACACCTTCATAAACAACAGATTCTTTTCCAGAAGTTTGATTCACAGGAGCTTCCTTGAATTGATTACAAACAACTTGTCCATCCTCAAATTGCAACTTCTCACTCACTGGATATGTATCAAACTCAAGAATTCCACACCCAAAACCCTTGGACAACTTTTCATTTCTAATTCTATCTCTTATATCCACATCAGTCCAATGTTGAATTAAAGGTATTGTAGAATTTAACACAACATTCCTAAACCTCAATCGATGAAAATAGATAATCTCTAACATCAAAACACAACCACAAAACCATTCTATATTTCCTTCTTTGTAGCTCTTCACGGCTTCACAAAGTCTATCTAAGACATATTTTGACCAATTATAAATTCTTATTTGATTAACATCAACCAAACATTTTACAATTCTCAAATCCACAGTTCTGTTGGACGTAGGTGCTAAAAAACTTGAAAAAGCATGCATGATAAAAAGCTGTCTGAATTCTTCCCCGCCATCTACTAGTAAAGGGATCTTAGATTCCAAAAAACCCAAAGGAATCTGATCATTCTCACCCATAAGACCAAAATGAGACCTCCATTTAACCTTTAAATCATAATCAGGGTTGATGACATTAGCACAACGAGAAATTTCTTCAACTTTCTTAGATGTTTTGCAAGGAAGGCAAAAAACATCATACACATCAAATTCAGTCACAACAAAATCTTTTTTACCATCAATAGTAAACATGCAGCTACCATGATCAAAACAATCTACCAACCATGATAGCATATCAGTTGCAGTTCGTTTCACCTTCAAAGATAACAAACCTCCAAAGCCAATTTCTTTAACAGCCTTGATTTGATCATCTGAAAAAGTTTTAATCATCTCTACTAAATGAAATGGCCTGCAACGTGTTTTAAATCCTCGTTGCACCCTGTAACAAGACATACGAAAAGATAAACAAAAGAAACCAAAATAGTAGCCTCTTTTTATAGCATAGTGACCTTTTTTTTAAACAAAACTTCAAAAAAAAGAAACAAATATTCACTTACATATGTACATCACTATCTATGATTGCAGATTCTTGCCTATGAATCACAATGTTCTTATCCTTATTTGCCTTCACTTTCTTCACTTTAAGACCTTCATTTTCATCCAACTTTCTCTTCTTAGCTGGCAAAACAATAGCATGTGAAGAAGAAGACTCATTCCCCTTCTTTCCTTCCATCACAGTTGACAAAGGTATAGCATTCTCAATGTTAGAAGGTTTCTTTTTCTTAGTGATAGCTTTCTTTTTCAATCCTTTTTCAATACAAGCATCTTTATCTCTGTTAGTATCATCATCGATCATTTTGCTTCCACCATCAATATGCTCTTCATCTTCATGATCGAGATTGATACATGCTAAAAACACGCAAGCATATAGTTATATATACAATTATCTTCATTTTCATTTAGCAAACAATTATAATATAGCAAACTAATAACTTAAAAATAATAATCATTGTCATTGATATAGTGACCTTTTTCAGTTACATAGGGAACTAATAATATAGTAACTTTTATATTAATATAGGGACCTACATTCTATAGTATTAGGAGACTATCATAATATAGCAACTAGTATATTAAGGTTAATAATCCAAAAATCAAACATTCATCATACCTCCTGTATCTTTCAATTTAACTCCTCCTGTTGAGCTACGAAGGCCTCTCCTTTTTTTAAAAGTAGCACCACCTCTAGTTCTCACCATAGGAATAAAATCTAATCCAAATCGAATGAAAATCCTTGTTGCACCCTGTAACAAGACATACGAAAAGATAAACAAAAGAAACCAAAGTAGTTGCCTCTTTTTATGGCATAGTGACCTTTTTTTAAAACAAAACTTCAAAAATAACATAGTCCAACACCCCTCCAAAAAGATTCAGTTTATTTTGGTTTGGTTTAGAACAAGTTCAGGTCATATTCATATTTATGTCTTTTGACAACCAATTTGTTTACGAATAAAAAAATCAATTCAGGTCAGGTCAGGGCAGTGAAAATCAGATCAAACTAAGGTATCCAAATCCTCGAATTCTGGCTACCTTGATTCAAGTTCAAAACAGGCCTAATTCAGAAATTTTGAAGCAAAATCCAGTACAGAGTCAAATTAACCATGCACATATGTCAGACTAGAAGTACACTTTTCAACAGTCAAGAAAGTCATGTAGATGTCGATTTAGCATGATCAAAAGCAATCTATCACAAATCCACCCCAGATGTCTGTAGCTCCTGGGTTAGTCGCTTAAGCAGTCTGCTCAACACCAAAAATCGGACATATAGAATCAAAGTCAGTATCTTAAACCAGGAAGCATTCTTCATACTTTATGTTCTTTCTTTCTTTCTTTCTTTCTACGGTTGATGTGGAAAGAGTCTTTGCATCAATATCACAAACACCAGAAAATTTATCTAAGTGCAAAAGGCAAATAATTCATGTAGGAACCTAATGACATTTGATGCAGCTGAAACCACTTCAAATCACAAATAAGAAAAGACAGGTTGTAAGAGAGAAACACAACAACATCAAGGAACACCAATGCAACCAAGGCAGTTAGTCCATCTCCAAACATGTCACCATGTTGGTCAGGTCTCAATTCCAGATCATCATTAGCAAGAGATTGATGACCATTCCTGTTGCCTACACCAAACGGAACACGGGAAAATACAAATCGAGTTGGACACCAAGTGGAAGCAGGAACCAGTGTAGCTAATTTATGTCTCCAAACTCTCACTAATTCACTCACAAATCCACTAAAAACACTTCAAATTACTCAAAATTCGAATTAACTACTCCAAACTCTCACTAATTCACTCACAAATCCACTAAAAACATTTCAAATTACTCAAAATTCGAATTAACTACTCCAAACTCTCCCGAATTCACTCACAAATCCACTAAAAACACTTCAAATTACTCAAAATTCGAATTAACTACTCCAAACTCTCCCGAATTCACTCACAAATCCACTAAAAACACTTCAAATTACTCAAAATTCGAATTAACTACTCCAAACACAAACACACACACACAATTCGCATTTTAGCTATTCGCATTCCTAACAGGCATTAATTCGAAATCAAAATCCACAAAAATCAGCTAAACTCGAAATCAACAAAAACAAAATTATGCTCAACAAAAATCGTGTTACTAAGAAGATGAAGAACAACAACAAAAGCAGAATTTCGAGCAAAAATACACATAAAAACCTAGTTTACTTAAATTAAGAAAAATTAAACAAAATACATTTAAAAAATACTTCTACTAAAACGAAACTTAAGTTGAAATTCAAAAAATCAAATCAAATCGAAAAAATAAAATAAAAAAACTTGCAAAATTACAAAATTAAACAAAAATCATACACGAAAAACATAATAGACATTAAATTTTCGGTTGAATCTACAAAAAAGTACTCATGAAATTCCAGCAAACAAAATTTCAGAAACCTAATAACCTCAAATCGTGCAAAAATAGCGAAATTACCACAAAGAACTCACCTGATAATAGATCGTAGAGCTGAGAAATTGCTAAAAATCAAAGTAATTGAAGCGGTGTTGCTGAAGGAGTTCGCTAATGTCGAGAAATTAGGAGAGAGAAAGTGAAGAGAGAAGGAAGAGGAGGAAGAAAATAACAGAGGAAAGAGAAAGTGTTTTCGCGGGAGGAGAGAGAAAATTAGGATATATATACATTAAATATCATCCGCTAGATTATAATCTACGGCTGGGATTAATTGTTTTCATGTTTTCACCCTAAGACTTGTTTTTACATGATCCTAATCCTAATATATATATTTTAAGTATATCCTAATTGCTCACTTTTTATATTTTTGTATCCCAAACAGGCAAACATTCATCATTTAGTTAAAGTAACATAAAGGATTATTAATTTTTAGGATGACATAAATAAAAATGTGACCTATAAATGTTGTATCATTAAAAGATGAATCAACTATTACTACATTTCAATTAATTATTTGGATTTATAGGATGGGCTTTTGAGTGAGGCACATTTTTTGTAAGTTGCAAAAATTGTATTTTAAATCGTAAATATTTTAGGCTTTTTAAGAAATAGGGTGAGAGTGAGGGATAGCTCAAGTGGGTAGAGCTCCCCTCCCGATTACAAGAGATCTTGGGATCGATTCTCATCACAGCCTTTGTGGCTCTCTAAACACCAAAAAAAAAAAAAAATTATTCTGTAATAAATTTGGTTGCTTAAACTATAGAATTCAGTCACCAGAAACACATTATAAATAGTTTTTTTTTTTTTTTTTTGACTTATCTTATAGTATGACAATACTAATTGTTTGCTTGTTGTATGAAATAACGTGACAAATGACCAAAGTACTAACCAAATTATATATAGTCACATAGTTGAAACATCACCTCGTCAATATTTTGCTAGCAAAATCTGGAAATACACAAGTTTCTTAGACATGTACATACAAAATTACCAACCAACAATTAATAATTCTATTCCAAATGCTATTTAAATCCTATGCATATCATCAAAAACCAAATCAAACCATCAAACAAATACTGTAATAATACACAAGTTTGAAATATATTCACAATTCACCCAAAAACAAAAAATAAAAAATGGGGATTTCGAGCAATTTTGTAGCATATTGCCTTGTTATTTTTGTGTTACTAAGTATTGCTGTAAATGGACAATCAATTGTACCAGCATTGTTCATATTTGGTGATTCAGTAGTTGATGTGGGTAATAACAACGATCTTCATACGATTGTGAAGTCGAATTTTGCTCCTTATGGTAGAGATTTCTCCCACCATAAGCCTACAGGAAGATTTTGCAATGGCAAACTTGCTACTGACTTTACTGGTGTGTTATTATATTCATTCATTTATATTTCCTTTACGTTCGATTTTTGTTGTGAAAAGTTCATGCCTAAAAGAAGATTTTTAAATCGTGTTAAAAATTTATGCCTAAAAGAAGGCTTTTCAAGCTTCTTAAATCTTAATGTGTTGTAGATAATCAGCTGGTCTTGGGCAAGGCCCTTGACGTACAGAGTAACAAGTCATCCTACTGGATAAGTTTTCGCGATGTTTTATTTTATGATAGGAAATATGATCAATGTATATCAAAGCTTATGCTAATAGTCTAACAAACAATAAAAACTAACATCAGTCGCTTTGGATTTCTTTTACAGCTGAAACTATAGGATTTACGTCTTACCAACCAGCATACCTCAGCATAGATGCAACAGGGAAAAACCTTCTAATTGGAGCTAATTTCGCCTCTGCTTCTTCAGGGTATCATGCCAGTACACCCAAGATATATGTAAGTCTATACAAGTACTATATCTTTTATGTCATCTGTTTATTTTTTTAACCTAAAGAAATACAAGTATATGTTTTTGGTAACAATAGAATTTTATTTGATACATGATTTTGTTGGTTGAAGGGCACAATTTCATTGAGCGAGCAGCTGGAACACTATATGGACTACCAGAAGAAAATAGTGTCCCTTGCAGGAAAAACCAACGCGACATCAATAATAACAGAGGGAATTTATCTGATTACTGCTGGAAGCAGTGATTTCCTTCAGAACTATTACATCAACCCTCTTCTTTACAAGCTTTACTCTCCTGAGGCATTCTCTAACCTTCTTGTACAAGAATTTGCACAACTTGTTCGCGTATGTTTTCATTCATTCTAACTGCTCTACTTTGTATTTCTGCTGAGGGGTAAACCAGAAGAAAATATTGAACTGTAGAAGTTAACCTGTAAAAAAAACTATGTTTTTTTTTCTTGTGTACTGCAGAAGTTGTATTGGCTTGGAGCAAGAAAAGTAGGAGTAACGTCGCTCCCACCTCTAGGATGCCTACCGGCTGCAATCACCATTTTTGGAAAGGACAGTAATGAGTGTGTAGATCACATAAACAAAGACGCAATTACGTTCAATGATATGCTTAATTCTACTGCGAAGGAGCTGCAGACCCAGCTTAAAAATCTTACTTTGGTAGTGTTTGATATTTACCAGCCACTTTACGAGTTGGTCACTAAGCCTGAAGACAATGGTACTACTTTTAACTCTTCTATCATACTCAACAATACTATCTTATAAATCAAAAATCGCAGTACACTCTAGGAAAGTGATAAGGCTGATCACATTACATTCAGTAGATCTGTGATCATATTACAGTATGACAGCAATTCTGAGCTATTATGTTATGCCAATAGAATTTTTTCAAAAGCATGTAGGTGCGGTCTGATGAATTGGAAATGAAATGCAGGGTTTGTTGAGGCAAGAAAGGCATGTTGTGGAACAGGATTGCTAGAAACATCATATTTATGCAATGCAAAGTCGCCAGGAACCTGTAAAAACGCGTCTGAGTATGTATTCTGGGATGGTTTTCATCCAACAGAAGCCACCAACAGAATTCTGTCTGATGATCTTGTTGCAGCTGCCGTTTCCCTGATCTCTTAGAATTTCTTTCAAAATAACATATCAGTTGTTTAAGATATGTTTTTCTATACAATGACTATCAGAATTTGTATTTCACATTTTCATATAAAAGTGTGCAGAAGAGTGAAATTGGTTGCACAATAACCATATTTTATGAAGTATCTTGATTCTTGATCATATCTGATCACATTTTGTCTTTGTTAAACTCAGTATAAGATGTTTGAAAAAGGATTGGTTTGATAAAGTTTTATATTAAAATTTTTGATTCTTATATATTGAGCAATTTTCGTATCTTGATAAATTATTGGTGCTAATAGGATATACCGGATTACAGGCTATTTTTAACTTCCTTTACATTTATCTCAAGGCCTTGAACTGTTCTCAAATTTCCAAGGATAAAGAACACATTTTAAGCCTAAGTTCCTATTTTGTTAGCAGTACAATGAGATCCTGCAAGAAATCAAATGTGAGAATGACTAAATGACTTTTTAAATAATTTATGTTGGGACTTTGAAAGAAAGAGAAATGATTAAATATTTTTAGGGGAATTTTAGGTAAGAGGTATAAACAATAAAATATGGCGTTGTACAAATTAGGTTAAAGTCTATAAAAATCTAATTATGGTCAAATTTTGATCAAATTTGAATGTCAAATTAGATCAGACTAGAAAAATTCAAATCAGATCAGATCATGTGAACTGAACCTAGCCTAAAGAATATTTAATCTATCAGATTATTTCTAAAATAATTATCAAGCAAATATGTTGAATGCCCTAAATTGAGATTAATAGACAGAATAATTTATTTTAAGAAAATAGATAGAATAAATTAGTTGCTCTTTAAACAAAATAAAAATTAAAAAACATTTGGCGCCAAAGCAATACCGCCAGATTTCATTTGAGAATTTCAAACGAGTTTAAAGACTAAAGAGAGAAACATAGAGGAGAGAGAAGAGGCAGAAGATGGATTACACACTAGCAGCGCTAAAGCTAATGTGTGCACAATTGAAGCAATCCAAACAGACTCCTTCACAGTCTTCCTTCACTTTTGGTGGCATCCTCTTCCAACGCGCTTGGGTTCAGGGCCTTCTCGTCTCCGTTCCCGACAATAACAACGACGATGACGACGATAACCGCTGTCGCTTTCTTCTTGATGACGGTACAAGCGTTATTGAATTGTTTCTCTCTAAGAGCTACCTCAAACAAGATAATTGGGTTACTGGTACCTTGCTATTATTTTGTTATTTTCTGTTTTTGTTCGTCAATTTTACCTCTTTTCTTGAATTTTATTTCGTGATTATTTTTATCATCTGTTTTCTTTTCTTGTGCTCTGTTTTCGTTCGATGATCAAGGGATGTATGTGATGGTAGTCGGACCTTACCTTGTTCCTGCCGGCAAAAACCCAATGATTAAGGTACTATATTCACCTTCCTTGTGAATCGCACACCATATGTTTGTTTAAATTCCTTCATCATTTTTCTCATTGTATCATACTCTTTAAAAGTAAAATCTTTACCATCTTTTTTGCGAATTTCAAATTAATCATCTCGCAAAATTCTTCCTGTTTGGACTGTTATTGTTTCAAAAGGTCGAAACAAGAAGAAATTTTCAAATAGGAAGTACTAAATTGGTGTGGCGTAGAACTCGAATTCTTAATTGTGACCCTCAAATATGGGCAATTGTTTCGAGACAGTAGCACTGCAACAGGGGTGGCAGCATGAGGTAAAGTATTGGCGCTGCCACCACAACCATCACCCTTTCCTGGGTTAACAGTCTAACAAACAAGTTATTTAGATAAACAGTGACAAACAAGTTGATAACCTGTAAAAATAAACCATTTCTTCATTCACGTATTTTGTTCTTTCATACTCTAATTTGCAGGTTCACAAGATAGTTGATCTTTCAGCAAATCCTAATAGAGAGGCGATGTGGTATCTTGAAGTTATTGAAGCCTACAGATTGTTCTACCAACCTCTTATTGAAGATTGAACACAAGATTAACTTTACAGGCGTCAAATTTCAGCCACCAGAGTCTATGTTTCTGTAATTTCCTGGTTAAGAAAATGTAACTCTGTAATGACAATTGCCCCTTTTTGCTTCACACCTTTTGCTTATTCAAGTGCTTGCTGTCATAGTAGCATATGGTTTATATAGCGAATTGTCAAAATATCTGCACTCCTGCAGTGTACTACTGATATTTCGTTCTTTACGACAGAGGTCTGTGAAAAGGAAGCTAAAACATTTAGATTTGTGAAAGTCATTGTACTTTACATTGCTCTGTTCCTTTTAAATCCTAGCCACTATCATTTTACATTGTTTCTCTTTTGTAATGTTCCACGCCACACATTGAAGCTTAAACAACTCTTCAATTGCTGGAAAGCTTTGCTAGAAAATTTAAGTTTTTTTCCTAGTATACATGCTCCTAATCCTAGCAAAATTTTCAGACAATGTTTACCTTACCCTGACTAAACTATTCTTGAGGTTTGCAATCTCTTGATGAAAAGTTGAAGCTGAAGATGAGTTCCTCAATTAAGCAATTGCAAAAAGCCACAAATTTCCAGAAGATTAGTATAACCATATCCTGCAAAGAATTAAGATCTGTAAATTCAATATCATATCAACAAGAAAATCCAAGAAAATTAAATTGATAACTCAGTTAAGATGGGAAAATATACAGCACATCTGTGATAGCAGAAACTTAACTAAAAGCATTTCACAGCAAGATGTGTAATTCAGTGTTAAGACTGAACATGCATCATGAAACCCTTACTAACAGTCTAGTTAGTCCAAGCTCAAAAGTAGCTCCAAGAATAAGACTATGAAAGCAAGGGACATAGGCCGTTTTAATTTGATTTACATGACTCAGAAACATGACAGTTTGAGGCCTTGATGTTTTCCATCATTCGAGAGCCATGTTTGGAAAACAAACAAGATAGCATGTCAGACATACTTAACTTAATTTTTAACTTTTAAGGTGGCCAGGTGATAATTGTCAGAATAGCTAAAAACTATTATGCCACACAAGTGATTGCACTAAAGCGAATTTTGGGAACATCACTCCAAAAGGAATTTCATTAAAGTGAACCAAAATTTTACAGTTTGCATGCCAATCACATTGCATTAAGTAAACCTGGGCACGGGCCGGGTTGGCCCGCGAGCCGCCCGGCACGGCCCGCCGTTCGGCGCAGCCCGGCACGACCCGAATTCAAGCACGGCACGGCACGAAGTTCAACTCCCGTGCCACGGACAGGGTTGAGAATTCCCAGGCACGGCCCGGCACGAGCACAGCCATGGCCCGCCGTGCTGGCCCGTCGTGCCGGCCCGCAGGCACGGCCCGGAACGGCCCGCGGGCCAACGGTAATGTTACCGTTTATTCTAGCTCCTTAATAAGCCAAAAAAACGGCTAAAAAACGGCTAGTTTGTTGCCAATTTGCTCCCCAAAAATTCTATAAATACTCACCTCCATTTCATTCCCAAATCACAAAATCACAATCTCTTCTTCTTATCTCTTATATTCTCTAAATCTCTAATAATCCTTATTTTCTTAAATTCTCTAATTATTCTCTTAAATTCTCTAATTATTTTCCTAATATCGGAAAAAATTAAAAAGTTCGTAATCGTAATTAGTGGAGCGTTGAAGCACGGTTGTAAGATCTAAACTAATCTTAAATTTATTATTGTTTTATTGTTATTATTAGAATAATCTTGTTTAATTATTATTGTTGTTAATTGTTATTGTTGTTGTTATAATTGTTGTTATTAATTATTATTATTGTTACAATTGTTGTTATTATTTATTTTTGTTGTTATTGTTATTGTTATAGTTGTTGTTATTAATTATTATTATTGATATTTTTATTGTTAAAATTGTTGTTATTAATTATTATTATTATAGTTAACCACTTTTTATTAAAAAATTAATTGTTAATTATGGCATCGAACAACCCATCATCTAGGTCTAGGGGGAAAGGCCGACTTATCCGTAGTAGTTCTAGGGAACCACCAAATACAGCGAGCCCCCAAATTACGAGTCAAACCAATGACCCCATTTACTTCCCCCCGGGCTATGAGCCATATAATACGTCGGGATTTCCAGCACCACCACTAAACCAATTTCCACTACCACCATACCAATTTCCACCTAATTATATCGGTGATCAACAAAACTATTGTTCTAGCCAAGGTAGCCAAGAAAGTACCCGAATTCCCTCCGGTTCTACCCCTTCTACTGCCACTCCCACTACTAACCATCACACACATCATGAATGGTTAACCGAAACTGAGATGCTACTTTTGAAAAACCGAAGGAGTGAGGTATGGCGTTATTTTGTCCTAAGTAAAAATGGTGAACAATGGGCAAAATGTAAAACATGTAATAGTGTATTCACGACAGTTACCAAAAACGGGACGGGACACTTATCTAGACACATGAAAGCTTGTGCAAAACCAGCTAGTGATCCAACCCTGCCCAAAATTTCCCAATTCCATCCATACGGCTTTACATACAACTATGAGAGGGATAGGGATGAGCTAGGAAAAATGATAGTACACGCTGAACAACCTTTTCTTTTCTCGGAAAGTGACGCATTCAACACCTACATTAACAAAGCACTACAACCCCAACATAAAAGAATCTCTAGAAAAACCGTTCGTTCCGCCGCAATGAAAAATTTCCTAGAGTACAAAGTCCGGTTACAAGCCGAATTGAGTAACCTTAACTGTAGAGTATCTTTAACAGCCGATTCTTGGGATAGTGGTTATAAATATCACTATTTATGTGTGACTTGCCATTGGGTAGATGATCAATGGATGTTACAAAAAAGAATAATACATTTCAAAATGCTGGAATACCCACACACCGGCATTAACATTGCTCACCATTTAATGCAAGCAATAGACGAATACAACCTTCGAGATAAAATGATGTCTATGACTTTTGATAATGCAACCTCTATGACATACACAGCTAATCTTATCAAACAAAACTTAATCGATGTACTATTAGACGGTGAAGCTCTTCATACTAGATGTGTTTGCCATGTACTTAACTTATGTGTACAGGATGGAGTTCGGGCAATTGGCCCATACTACAGCAAAATCAGAGATGCTATTATGTCTATTAATAGCTCTAACATGAGATACCAAGAATGGAAGAGTTTTCTAAAACAACAAAAGATAAGGGTAATAAAAATTAGAACCGATTGCCCAACTAGGTGGAATTCCACCTATGACATGTTAACAAAGGCAATTGAGTACAAGGGCCCGTTAACATTATTTTACAACAAAAAATTTCCACAAAATGCTTTGTATGATGATGATTGGAATAACTGTGAAAGATATATGCAATTTTTACAGTTATTATATAACATCACGTATTGTTTTTCTACTGTTTACAATCCTTGTGCTCAAAACTTTCTTTCTAATGCATGCTTACTCGCCCAACTTTTCGCTGATCATCGCCATCAAAGTGATTATGATCAGTATCTTCCAGCAATGGAAAAAAAGTGGCGTAAATATTATAGTGAGATTCCTTTGATTTATATTTTTGCTTCCATATTAGATCCTACGCAAAAGTATGAAAACACATTTATGTTAGTTGACATTTACTTTCAATGCATGTTTCTTGACGATGATGTAGAAAACTATAAGACTAATGTGAAGGATCAGTTTTTTGCTTTATATAGAGTCTATGAAGCCAAATATGGCACCGTTCCTCGCTCAGGGCCTTCCCAACCATCCAAAAACGTAAGTAAGAAGGCCAAACATTTATTTTCACAAGCTACTAACTTGATTTCAAGGTTTTCAGGTGATTCATCAATCAGGAGAACAAAAAACGACGTCTCGGAGTTGCAGATGTACCTAAGTTACGACTTCACCAAAGGCATGGACGACGATGAGATAAACAGCCTCGACCTCCTTGCATGGTGGAAACAACAAAGCTCGAAACATCCAACTTTGGCGGCAATGGCACGAGACATTCTTGCTATCCAAGTTTCCTCCGTCGCCTCCGAACGAGCTTTCAGCGCATCCGGAAGGGTTTTAGACGATAGAAGAATAAGTCTAAAACCCGAAACACTAGAAATGTGCGTGTGTTTCAAAGATTGGTTGGATGCGGAAAATCGCTCACAAGACCGTTCTTACGACCACAACGACAACGAAGAAGGAACCTCCGCTTTCGGTTCGGGTTCGGCTAGTTCCCAATCTATGCAACTAGCCGATGACCTTGAAGGCGAAGGCGAAGACGAAGACGAAGACGAAGACGAGCAAGAAGAAGGAGAAGAAGAATAGACAATTATTGTATATTATACGATTTTAAAAATATCAATTTTATCATTTTCCAATTTTTGTTTAATACCATTATTGTATGATTTTTATCATTGTTATCATTGTACAATTTTCTCAACTCAAGTAATAATAATATAAAGTACGCATTATTCACATCCAAAGTCCAATTTGCCTTTTTTCCCCGTTTTGTTACAATTTGTAAATTCATATTAAAAAAAAAAAAATTATACCAATTACTAATAAATCATAAACATTAAATTTTAAAGTAATAGTATAAAGTAAATATATAAATATAAATATTGAATATACAAATTATAAAACATAAATATTCAACTTATAATTATAAAATTCATAACTTAATAACTTATAACTTATAAACTTATAAGTTATAACCTTATAAAACTTATAATTATAATTTTATAACTTATATACATTATAAACTTATTAATTTATAATATTATATAAAAAAAAAAAAAAAAATTATTTGAAAACTGCACCAGCCCGCAGGCCGGCACGTGGCCGGCACGGCACGAGCCCGCCAGGCACGAGGGTCGTGCCGTGCCGTGGGCTGGCCTGTGAAAATGGCCGGCACGGCACGGCACGAAATCCTGGGCCCGCCGGCACGACCGGCACGGCACGAACCAGCCCGTGGCCCGCCAGGCACTGCCCGCGGCGGCACGGCCCGGCACGGTGCCCAGGTTTAACACCAAGGATGGATAAGCATAAGTTTAAGACTATAAAAATGAAAGACTATAAAACTAAAAGTATGCATACAGGAGAGTGAAACCATAAAAAACAACATCTAGGCAAAACCGAATACCCCATTTTGAGGTTCTAGCCTTCTAGGTTATGTACATCAAATTGTGGGTGCTTTAGATAAAGATCAGTCACTCTGAGAAGCATTGGGAGGTTATTATATTTTATTAGGGTTCTTTCAATAATGAATATTTCTAAGTTGATTATGGTTCTATAGATGACAGAAACATCATTTTGTATTCACTTAAGGCCTTCATTCTTTTGCTAACAAATCTATAATTATCAAGCTTTGAATCCCTAATTATTAATTTTCATGAAGAGGTTCAAAAGGTACATCTCTATGGGTAAAGTTTCCAAACCTTCCTTTGAACTGTTGGAGATAAGACAGCTAAAGTAAGATAGGAAGCCTTCAAGGTTCCTTTATTTGGTTTCTCTATTTGTGGATGAATACGAGGCACCTTACACTTCTTTCCAAGAGTGCAGAGTGCTCATAGAGATGGAAGTCAAAAATTCCTTACCTAAGGATATACAAATTGAAGATGCTAATTGGACTCCTCCATTTTGTTCCTCGTGTAACATTCAACAGCCTCTCACTTAGATGATGATAAATTGATATTAGAGGGTAGAAATATGTTTCTAGGACAACTGCGAATGGGATGAAAGCCATTTATTACTTGGCATATGCTGCATCAAAGGTTGCATACTGCTGATAAGCTTACAAAAATGGAACTTGTGATCCTATTTGAAGAATGTGCACACTTCTTTGAAGTTGATCGGGAATCTACTTCTCATCTCTACTTCAACTGTTATAGTGTCTCAGTTGTTAAATTGTAACAGGACTATATCTCAAATTAAAGATGAAATCGAAATAGTTGCTAAGTCAAGCAAAGAGACTACTGCTTTTGGCTTCAGGGATACCAAAAAAGGCGCCTGTACCGTGCATTGTACACGCGTTTCTCGCGGAAAGATCATATTTTACAAATGTAAATTAAAGATTATACAACTATAGTGAAAAGAACATACTATTAAATTGTAATGAACATATATCTAAATTAAAAAGAACATTTTTGCACCAAAAAAGAGTGAAAAGAACATATGTCCATGTTCTTTGATTGCCAGTGTAATATACTTTTGTTCGTTGCTTATTGCGAAATGTTCTTTGAATTTTGTCAATTATGGTGGGTACATGTAAATAATGTTCATTACATAACATTATCATGTTCTTTATTAATATTACAGATGTTCTTTATAATAATAATAATAATAATAATAATGAAAATAATAATAATAATAATGAAAAATAATAATAATAATAATAATAATAATAATGAATAATAATAATAATAATAATAATGAAAAATAATAATAATAATAATAATAATAATAATAATGAAAAATGGAAAAGAAAATTCCAACATTTGTACTTTTTTCTCCTAAAAATCCAACCTTCATTTTATTCCTCAAAAATCCAACCTTTATACCTCACCTTCTCTAACAGATCCATTACCATCCATTACCCTGTTGATGACCGGTTTTTGTAAGTTACATGCCACGTGTAAGCTATTATTGGGTCAATTTTTTTTTAATTATTAAAAAACAACAATATTTAAAAGAAAAATTAAAAAAAACAAAAAAAATTTGGAAAAGCCAGCCCCACCCTCCTTCCCTGACCACCCCATCCCCACCGACCAACCCACACTGCACCTCCCCTTTTCTGTCACGCCAGCCACCTAGCTCACCCACCGTCGAATCCCCTAACCCCCGAAAACCTCCCTACCTGAAACCTAGCCCCTAACAACCTCCCTCACTGTTTGGATTTGTGGGTGTTTGTTTTCGATTTCCGAAATTCGATTGACATGGAAACTAATTTGATATAGTTTTGGGTTTGCTGACACAATCTGATTATTTGGATAAGTGGGTGTGTTTGTTTTCAATTATTTGTAAGTGCGGTTGATTTCTGATTTCTTGGTTTTTTGGGTTTGAGTTAGGTTAGTTTTGGGTATAAGCGATTGTGTTTGTTCCCATTGTGTTGATTGGGATTGAATTGTTAATCGTTGTTGAGCTTTATGTGATCTTTAGCATTGTTACGACAATCGAATGCAATCATTAGGTGTTTTGGGACTACTTGTGGTTGGGCGTTGGTTTGGAAGGAGAAAGAGTGGAGGAGGAGGAAGAAGGTCGGTTCTGGGTTTGGGTAGGGTGGGGTAAGGCAATGATGCACGGGTACGGCTCTGGGCTGCCGTCTCCCGTACCCGAAACGTCTCGGAGACGGGTACGCGACGGGGACGGCTAGGATCCGTCCCCATCAAAAGTGGTACGGCACGTCATTTTGGGGACGGCTAGGGTCTTGATCGGATACGTTTCGGGTACGGGAAATCCAAAATTCCGCCGTACCCAAGAAGCCCAGCCCAATTTTTTTTTTTAAAAAAAACCCCAAATCAAAACAAAACTTACCTCATACTCGATTTCCCCCAATTCTCACAAACCCTAAAACTTCGAACTCCTTCATCTTCTCCGTCCCTGTGCGATTGGATTGACGGCGGCGACAGGAGACTCACCTGGAGGCTGCGACAACCGACGCCTGGTTCAAGGCGGCGCCGGAGACCCACCTTCTTCGCTGGAGACCCACCTGCGAGGCTTCCTGCTTCAGTAAGTTTTTCTGACTCTCTTCTTTCTTATTTTTTATTTTTTTTGAACGGCTCTTCCTGAGTTCTTTCTTTCTTTCTGACTCTATTCTTTCTTTCTTTCTGTAAGTCTTCTGTTTTCTTTTTTAATTGTTTTTATGTGTTGTTGATATTATAGTGAATTGTAGTGACATTAAATGAGAATGTCAGTAGGTATTTTTTTTTTTTACATTGTGCAGTTGAATGGACTCTCAAAATGTTGGTAGTAATACAGGTAGTGGGTCTGGTAATTTTTTTTTTTAATGGATTTATATTTTGCTGATTTTTTTTTTGCCGTATCCGAACCGTACCCGTATTTTGAAAAAAAAAAATTGTCGTATCCCATCCCCGTATCCGTACCCGTTTTTGTCCCTGTATCCGTATCAGTGCAACCTAGGGGTAAGGTGGCAGAGGTGGTGGCGGCCGAAGAGGTATGGGCTGCTTTGTTTCAGTTTTTGAGGAGATAGGAGAGAGAAAGAGGAGGAGTGAGAAGTGAAAGTGAGAGAATTTTAAAAAAATAAAAAAAATAACTTGTTTAACAGGTTTAAGGTTAAATGGATCTGTTGGAGAAGGTGGGGTATAAAAGTGGGATTTTTGTGAAATAAAATGAAGGTTGGATTTTTACGAGAAGAAAGTGTAAAGGTTCGATTTTTATTTTCCATTTTTCCTAATAAAAATAATAATATAAAAAATTAAAAATTAAAAAAATATATATATAATAAATGTTCTTTACAAAACAACAATATGTTCTTTACAAAATAGTTGTATGTTCTTTACAAAATAACTATTGTCTGTACCAAGCACAGTACACCGCTTGTATCTTAAAATTTTCAGCTATTAACAAAGAAATCTTCTTTTGAATGAAACTTGAAGGTGTTCTGATAAGCTAAGATCTGCCTTACTGATTTGATATTCCTGACAGAATAGCACTAAACTGATGGTTTCTCGGTCACTTTATTAAGAGTTGTAGCTAGTTTGCTTCTGTTGTTTGTTTTTAGGTTTGCTATCAAGTTAGATTCAGGTATTTTGCTTGATTTGGTAGTATGTATATTAATCTTTTACATATGAAGGGTAACCTATCCAACCATCACATAAGCTGGGTTGGTAGTTTTATTATCGATGCAAAATAGTGTGATTACTTTTAGGCTTTGAAGTATGTTTCTGGTGAATTTTCAAGTCTGTATAAGAAATTCTGGTTACGGTTATCAATAATTTTTTTTTCTAATATTTAAGCAAATTCTATGGCACCTTGATGTTGTGGCTAGTCCCCAAAAGGTCTGACTTGTAACAATTTCCAAGGCCATTTCTAAAGTATTTTGTTCAGCAAGTACACTGCATTCAACGTAATGAGAAGTCTTTCATACCTAAGACATTTTGGCACTAGATGCCCTAAACCTAGCTTCACTAGTAGTTTAAGAATAGTACTCTGTTGGGAATATGCATCCCAAGTCCCACATGTAAGAAATAAGGAGGAGAGCTCCTTATTAATGAGATATTCACTACACTAGTATGAGGCCTTTAGGGTTGTGCCCAAAAACAAATCCGTGCGGGCTTGCCAGCCCAAAGCGGACAATATCATACTAGTGGATGTGTGAACGTGTGCGACAGCCCTAACAAGTGGTATCAGAGCCGACGGTTCGACTAGGACAATACGGGCGTTATGTGTGGGATGGGTTCCTTCATGTGTCCTCGAAGTTTGCCCTGAGATTGGTGGTGGTTGCCCTGTAATTCGTTGGCAGGGCGTGTGGGCATGGTCCAATGTGTGGTGGTTCGTGGCCGGGTGGACCCTGTAACTCGTGGGGATCGAGTGGGTATGTGGCCGAGAGCAAACCATGGTGGCTGATTGTGTAATCAAGCGGCGTGTCTAGTAGTAGTAACGGCGGTACTGAGATGGGCTAATAGCAAATTAGGGCTATCATTCGAGGGGAGGGGTCCACTTCACATGGATTGAGTTAGAAATTTCTCTATTTCAAGTAATCAGAAGGATTTCTGTTTTTTTTTTTTTTTTTTTTTTTTTTTTTTTTTGACAACAGCAAAAGAAAATAGGAAGATGTTTTATGGACACCTTAAAATGAAGCTAGATCATCAATATTCAGAGTTAAGAAAAAAAAACTTGCTTAAGGCGTAATACGTACCATTAGTTTTGCAATTCAGTGTGGTTCCATTTTAAAGTTTGAACTAGTTAATCAAAATGCCATTTATGCAGGAAGGAGATCACAATTTCTTTCTCACAATAAAGAAACTAATAAGTTGACATTTCAAACGAAAGTCAGTTTCAGAAATAAAAGACATAAGCAGAAGAAACAAGACAGTCATCAAATAAGTATTATTGAAAGGGAGGAGGGGGGGGGGGGAGCTTCTGTCAACGGTTCACCTCATATAAAGTGAAAAATATACACATTTCCAGGGAAGAATGCCTATAATGGAGCATCATGTGCAAAATGAATTGGTGCTTACCTAACTTGCATGCTTGAGACAACAGTCTAGTAGTTTCTGAACATCTCTTTCATCGGGACAACTTTTCTCTAAGTTGTCCGCGTCATCGTATGCTACAGATTCCTCATCCTTCACCCGATTCCAGTGAACCAAAATTTTAACAATGCATTTAATCTTTTCCGTTAAAGAAAATAAAGAGTTATAAGACAGTAACAATGCACTTACAAAACGGTTTGGTATTTAACAAATAAAGAGCACCATATTAAGCAATGAAATAAAGGTACCGAAGGATACAGCCACAGTTCTAGAGTCAAACTTTGCTTCTGATATAGTATGAGCATCACAATTTGAGGATTCATCCTGCTTGCTCTCAAGGAGGGTATCTTCTATCATATCTGATTTGTCCACAAACATCAATACAAATTGATTTAACCTTGAAGGTCTCATCTCTGCTTCTTGAACGCGAGCCAGAAGTCTGGCCACAACACTCCATAATGCATTTCTTGCCTCAAAATCATCTGAAGTAAAAGGAAATAAATCGAGGAGAGACTGCAACAAAAGGAAATCTGCATGTACAGAGCATTTAGTATGTCAAATGAGCCATAAACAATGGTCAAGTTGACTAAAGAAAATACTTTCAAGTAAAAGCCGCCATTTTAATGTCTCTTACATGATTTTTGTTGAACAAACCCAAGAATAGAATAGGAAATTTAGAATCATGAGTTTGGTCCTCTGAAGTTTGGCAAAACCATTTAACTACAATCACAGATTAGAAAATTTGATTGCTTCTTTCTTTTTTTTTTTAACTTTTATAGAAAGAGTGAGGGAGAGGGGGGACATAGGGGCCCAATACAAAGAAATAAAAGTAGACAACACAAGAAAAAGTAATAAGAATGATGTATTCACCTTCTGACAATTTGAAAGCCAGATCAGGAGCATCAGTTAATATGTTCGCTAGCAAAACTGCTGAAGTTACACAGGAGCTGGAGATCTGCAAAATAAGTCAAGTGTAGACCAATTAAGCCTGAACTTGAAAGCAAGATGGAAAACCTGGCAGCTTCAAAAAATAATTACCGAGGTCAACACTATGTGACATTACAATCAAATCCATGAACAATCATAACAATAATATGCCAAGAGCTGAATTATTTTGTCTTTAAAATCCAGTGTCTTAGCCTCTTAGGCAAAACTAAACAGGGCAATGTGCACTCAAAGCCATTTTTAAGCAAATACGGAATAACACCTACTCACTTGACAAGATTTCTTGACTATCTTAGGTTCCAGGAAAGGGGGGAGGGTACTTCAATATTAAAGAATGTGTTTAATTAGTTAATGGTCGGAGGTGACTTGGCTAATATATAAATTACAATCAACTTCTCTTGTCAATTCTTCTAGGGAGCTCATTATCCAAGCCTCATTTTTATAATAAACAGAAGAAGTGAGACCAGTCACTAAGTAAAAGCAGCTTTCTACGCCCAACTCAAGACGAGGGAAACTAGTGCGATTCCGGCAATATACTTTATGCTAACATCATCAAGAATAACACAAATTTATATTTTAAGGCACTGGATATAACCAAAGAATATTTAAGGCTAAACTTTCTGAAGATCAAACTAAATTGAATACTAAGGGAGTACAGATAGTTTCTAGGGATAGGAACCACCTCAGTCTTTTCAGGGATTTTGATCAGCTCTATAGCCATCTGAACAACTTCCTTATTTGAACATATCCGTTCTGAATAATCATCAGTGACGGAAAGAACTTCAACTGCGCGAAGAATTGAATCAAGTGCAGGATACCTAAGAATAGAACAGAAAGAAAAACCATAATTCACTCATTACTAGCAAGATTCCGAAGCTTAGAAAGTTTATTTGGAGTAAATTAAGAGAAAAGTGTCTTAAGGAAGTCTGTTAAAACACAAGTATGTCAATCTGCACATGAAAGCTAGCTCATCATCATAACACATGCATGGACAGAAGTCACAGAACAGTATATATATTTTTCTAATCCATTAGATATTAATAACAGTGAGGACTAAGTTTTGGTTATCAAAATAAGGCTTTGTTCAATTCGACTTATTTTGACTGAAAGAACTTTTTTGTACATGAAACTGTCTGAAAAACTTAATTTTGTTTGAAACTGTCAGGGAAAGAAAACAAATTTTGTTTTATCTTTTTTTGACTGAATTTAACTTATTCCGGAATCTTTTTTGAAAATTGAGAGGCATCAGAAGCATCAAGTTTGAAACCAGACAGTGACTATTGCGAAAACAGGATTTCAGATATTAGCTGCTAATGCATGATGGATTATACAAAAGAATTCAGATCTGCAAACTTTAAAGCCAAGTATGCTGAAGTTATACATCTCTATCCAATTGCTACTTGTATCTCCTATTTGGACAAACAACCAAAGCATTTGAACCTAGAAACATTTAAATTAATTGTGCCACAGCTGAACATATCCATCTAATTGCTAATTATCTCCTACGCAATAAGCACATCCCAAAAATGGTGTGTTTTACGAAAAAATCACACTTCTGAAAGTTGATCTATGTTAAGTACACACATCCTATCAGGATAAAACAAGAATACATATAGTGTAAGGTAAATTATGAGTACAAGAACCAGAAACTCAGAAAGGTAATATAGTCCTTGACATCTCTCCATAGAGCTATAGAAGCAATAATCAAATTACAACCTGGTTCTACAACTCCAAGTTAGCTCAGTTTGCAAGGAAACCAAAGAACATTACAAAGTAAGGTAAAGGTAAAAAGGTATAACATACATCAACATAAAGCATACAATGCTAGAAGCACTCGGGCAATTAAATCTCCTAACATTAATAATTCTCATGCAGAGGATTGACCCCAACTCAGAACGTTTACCTTTCAGGTATTCTGTCACTTGTTAATTTGCCCATTTCAAAAGACAGGAGATTCACTAAAAGGTCTGGCAGCCCCAAGTTCATGAGAGTTGGAAGAAGAATAGGTGCCACTTCTTCTTGATTTTCCATAATTGCTAGAAATAACCCAACACTCTGTTCAAGGCAGTAAAAAATAAAAAATAAAAAATAAAAAATAAATCTCATTATTCATCATACTATTAAGATAATTTTATTATTGTTAATAATCACAAGATAACTATAATGGAAATAATACATTCTCTCTTATCACAAGAATATTAACAGTCACAGGATATGCATTAATGCTAGGTAAACTCAATAGAGAGATAAAAAGAGTTGCAAAACTTGCAATCATCCAAAAGTCCAACAAATGGCATCCAGTTCACTTGCTTCAGATAATATCTTGCCAAAACCTCTCAGAATGATTTCTTACTACAGATTTTATACTGAATGTCTTTCCAAGTTACAGTGACCATACTTTGTAGAGGAAAAGTGACTAATGACTCTGCCTTCCACATGAAAGTTAGCATATCCAGATATCAAATGGATGGTCAACAGCACACACAATGAAAAAGAGGCAGGAGAGTACTTTGTTTTGGATTATTCCAGAAAAAAGAAAACAACTTCTTGCCAATGGCAGTATTTCTGTGCAATGTAAACTAATAAACAAAAGCTCATTTTGCACCAACTATATGATCACTAGCACACTAAAAGTAAATGCATAGATACAGATGCTTGGAAGTTGGAAAGGATCGAAAGCAAATTAGCAAAGGCAACAAGATGGAAAATAGGCTGCAATTGTCAGAAAAGTGAAACAAGTAGAGGAGCAATGAAAAATAACATTGGTGTATTTAGAGAAGAAGACAGTTCACAATTTGCAAAAAGGTATTCACCCTGCCCGCTTATTTGACAGAATGCAGGTTTATTAATTCCTCTCCTGTTTCTTTTATTTAAATTCTAAGGATTGACATTAAACTTAATCCACCAGGCAGTTGGTCTATTCTAAGCCTCCTTTCTCCTGGTATCCTTTCTGTGAATGGATGGGTGCTAGTTCCCCCAGCTAAAAAAATTTAACTATCATTTAAATTATTCTACCAGAGTATGTTTAAATTATTCTATCAAATAAGTCTCTCCAAAAGTTAGAGGAATTTGTAAGGGAATCAATTGCTCAAGTCCTAAAAATATGATCTCACAGATATAACAATTTCCAGCAAAGTCTATGATAAAAAGCTTACACAACACAAATACAATCTCTATAGACATGATTCTTCAACACAGAAAAACAACCGGCCAGTCCCTGCTCTCCTCACCAATCACCCCATTACTCCAAAAAAAAAATGATATATAAGAAATCCAAGAGCACATTTCTTTAGCAAACAAATTTAATGACGACAGAAATCAAATAGATTGCCACAAACAGAATCCTTCGTAACAGATTAAGACTGCTTGTCAACTCACATAAAGAAGTAAAAGCTACAATGCTTCTATCAGCTCCCCACACTAGCTGTTAAATGACTCTTTTGATACCTTTTTCCCAATTTAAGGGAATTTTTTTCTAAATTACCAAAAAAAAAGTTGCGTCAGATCTAGGAGCTCTTGAAGAAGTAAATGGTAAAAGATTCATGTCAATCACGCCTATAATTCTAACTGGAAGCATAAAAGTACACCAATAGCAGACCTACTCTCTTCAAAATCCCAGTTTTTCTAGCTTTTGGCATGACCATGTGGCCATGCCACGTCTTATTTCGCTCTTAAAAAAATATAATAAAAAATAAAAATAATAAAATTGGTTAACAAACTTTTTTCATATTCTGTCTATTCATTCCTGATGTGTAACAGATGTACAGATATTAAATTTACAAAATACCAATATTGTTTCTTGCAGTTGAGAGCCTGACACTAAAAAAAGGGAGGAGGGGGGAGGTGAGGGGAGGATAGCAAAGATGAAGAAGAAACCAGTCACCTTCTCAATGAGGACTGGATTTAAGGTATTCTCCACAATCCAAAGGATACGGCTCAAGATGTGGTCCGATTGCAGTGCTCTGGCCCACACAACACGTTGGCAACCTTGAAGACCCAAAGTTAGCAACCTACAAAAATATTTGTAAATACATGAAGTGACAGAGAATCCAAAATGCTTATACTGCATTATACTAAGGGCTAAGCTATGAAAGAAACCTTATTAGTTGCAAAACCGCAACCCAAGAGGCCATGAGTAAGAAGAACTACTTTCATAGTATCATGGTATAACTGCCTTACATTATATAAACATTCATATATGCCTAGCACAATTCAACCATCCCTAGGAAAAGACGTGGAAAATTAAGGTTTCTTAGAAACATAAAATGCTACTTTGGAAGTTGGAACTTAGTTCATCAAAAGTAGGCTTTGCTCTAAAAATCCCTAATTCAACCCAATATGTGTCAAATGTCATACGAATCATAGAAACCATTTTCACCTTTCAGAAATGCACCGGAGTTTTTGAAATATGCTATTTCAAATATTTTCTCCTACTGATTTTAATTTTCTCATCTACATGGATTGCTTTTAATATACAACAAACACAATATTGGCTTCAACTGCTCTGTTGAAATATGACACCTCTATTTTTTGGTCATCCAGGAACAAAGCCATTTTTTGAGAGACAAATGATCCATTTCAACCTCTACTCAATATTTCCAAGAAGAATTTATAGCTACTGACAGCTCTTAGCAGATCAACAAGGAAGCAGCATGCCAGCAACATTCTCTTAACTAAAACCAGATCTTGGGATCCTCCCTAAAAGAGATATATGAAAGTAAATTCAGATGGATCACGATTGGCTTCAGATAATGCTGGAGGATGTGGTGTGCTACCCAATGAGAATGTTGTTTGGCAAATTGGAAACTCTCTACCATTATAAGCCTTGCTGCAGCTGATATTATCTCGATCAGGAAGGGACTGATCATGGTAAAAGACTATAACATTACATCACCACTCATCTAAAAGTTGTTACCAATTCTTACGCTCTGAAGTCTTAAAATCATTATTCACTAACACATTACTGTTGCAAGGTCAGTTATACCAGCTAGGCTGCATTTCAAAATATTCACTTTCAGAGTTTCAGCAGTTCAGCCCACAGCCTCAAATTTTAGTAGCACTTTTATTACACCATCTCTCAAAGGAGAAGAGAATGAGAATATCAATTTCTCCACCATCAACCCTTGTCTCAGCCACCACAATGAAATCAATAAAGAAGATAGTGAACAACTTTCCAGAAGCTCCACTAGCAAGGATAGATAAATCAGCTCTTAAAAACTAACTTTAAATATGCCTCCATCAAGTCAAAGCCCTTGCTCTTAGAAAACATATAAAAGAAACTTAACATAAGCCTTCTCGAAATTAACCTAGAAGCACACATTTACAACTTTGTCTTTTCAACCATTCCAATTACAATGGTAGATTCAGAGCAGCAATCAAATGTTGTCTACCCTCCATAATAGGTGCTACAAAAAGGAGCAATAGTTTATTATCAGACCTGTTGATCCCTCTCAGAGAAAACTTAAGTCAAATCTCATAAAGATCAGTAACTTTAACATAGTACAACGGTCCTATGGGATAAGGGTAAATAAAACTTTGAATTTGTACTGGAATCAGTCACAAGAAGGTCATTTCAAACCTCACTTTTCCTAGTACGCAGCTATCCTGTTCTAGACTTTCAATTTCTTTCACTAAAGTTCAGTTTTAACACAAAAAACTAAAGAAAATTTCCACATGGAACTCTGCACACCACCCTTTCTCCACAACTCACTAAACCATACTGTAAATATTGAGATGGGAAAGCCATAAATTCTTAAGGGAAACAGATTGCTAGATTAGGATTTTATCGGACAAAATAAGAAAGTAATCAGAACAAGGTCCAAAAAGCAATTCCAAGGCACCGTCCAGAAGATACTTGCTATCCCACTCTAGTAGTGAAAAGAAAGTGGTAAAGTCTAGATGAATAATTCCAGTCCCCGCCCACAAATCACCTAATCGATACAGCATAGAGGTCCCCAGTCACTATAGTTACTTTTCCATATAGTATGTCAAAGTCTTGTATTTACTTATTCTGTAAGGGACTTGTGTATTGGGCCTCGCAAGCCACCAATCCGGTTCCAACGCCAAAGGAGCGAAAAGGGAAGCATACAAAAGGGACCAGCAACCACATCAAAAGGAAGGGAAACCAGCTAGCACTAGGAAACAAGGTGAAGGCAAGGCAAGGTAGAAAGAGACAATATTAATTAATGACTTTAGTCCTTTTTACAGTCTTAGGTTGTATATATAAAGAATGTATGGGAAGTAGGAGCATTATGTGAATTGTGAGGAACTATGTTGAGAGAGTAGTACCTAAAGTTTAAGAGAGTAATAGCCTCAGGCTATCAAGAGAGGCTTTCGAGAGGCTTGTTCTCTCCCTTTGGATTTCTGTCTTTGATTTTCAAAGGAAGAAGATTAAGATAGGCTTTCGAGAGGCTTGTTCTCTCTCTTTGAAGATTAAGAGAGGCTTGTTCTCTCCCTTTGAATCTCTTGATAGTACAAGCTTTCGAGAGGCTTGTTCTCTCCCTAACCAACATTCGAGAGGTTGGAGCTCTCCAAAATGTCTCCACTCTTCACAATATTCAGCATAAACTCCTATCCCTTATTCATATAGCAAACTCACTGCTAGCTTCCACTCCAAGCTAATCTTAACAAGCTTATTAAGTGCTACCTATAATGCCCCTCACCTTATGTTGATTCATTACAGCTCTTTTTGCACACAAATCCTTTAGGATAATTTGTTATGCATGTGCCCAACAGGTGAATTATTAAAGCAGATTTGAAAGTTAAATTCCAAAAAGTGATTTGCATATTTTAATTGCAATTTTACATAAATTTAAAATTTCAAAATATAATTTACAGTTTGTACGCTGAGAGTCACATACGAGGCAACAAACTCAATAGCCCAAGTTTCTCCCAAGAGCAGCAAGAATGATTGTTTAAAGTTATATTTCCTTATATTGATTGGGAGAGTGCAGGGAATGATGCAAGGTAGAAATATGCTTTGATTTTGACATTACCGACAGACTTCACACAGGCAAGGAGCATCATCTGAGAACACTTGGTCTACAATTGTCTCCAACAATTTATTATTGGAGGTTATCTGGTCCATAAGTGCTTCATGGCAGGCAAGGTTGCCTATAATTCCAAGGTCAATCTCCTGCAGAATAAATTGTAGCCACCTGAATTTGTTTGTTGTGACAAACATTTGCTGTACATCACAATTGTAAATCCAAGATTAATTACAAAAGCCAGCATAAGGAACACTTACAGTAATACGGACAGAGTCAGAAGTCACAAGATTGGCCAAAAGGACTTCCAGCACAAAGTTCTGAACCTGAAGAAAACTTGTAGTCAGCTTTTTCTTCTTTGTATCATCAACATGAAGACATAACTTCTAGGTGGCATATGATTGCTACTTGCTTTTCATTTAGAGCAACCTTAACCATGAATAAATAAAATTGTTTGGGTTACTATTTGAATAAAATAATGTAAAAAAATTAGGCGATGGTAAATAGTGGGAAGAACAAGTATGAATGGTTTGGATTTCAAACCATTCATGGAAATTGTTTGTGCATCCATGAGATTATAATATTATTATGTATGTATGTATTTTAATTCTTAATAAAAGATAAATAGAGGTGGGGTAAGTAAATACTAACATGAACACTTTTTTTTAAATTCATGGTTAAGAGGAGGATTTTGGAAATTATTTGATTAGCTTATGTATATGAGTGAGAAAATATTTTTTTTAATGAATAGTAACTTGAACAATTTTTTTTTTGTTCATGAATGAATAAGGATGCTCTTACCCATTGAAACATGTACCTAAGATAGGTTGTAAAACTAGTGGGCTCTATACCCGCTAATGCTAGGAAATTATTGCCAATCATACATAGTTACATAGGACATTAGCTTTCCCTAGAATCTTCACATTTTTCACAGTGAGCCAAGCACTATCCCTCGTCCATTAAAGAATACTTTTAACCAGACTCCCCCATACACATCTATAGATGTTTTACTAAATATTACGTTTGTTCCTTGATGTTTGTCCCATTTTTCTTTTTTGGTTCATCCCTTAAAGTTTTCCCCATACTACAATGGTCAATGGGGATCACATCTTTACTCTCATACCAACTTCATTTGGTCCCACCACTACCGCTCAACCCCCAAAATTATAAAAGAGACTTCTCCTCAATAAGGCAAGCAAAACGGAATGGAGGGAGTATGTATCAGAAAAACACTCTAATTTCAAACCCCTTGAGGCCTCAACACTTCTCCATCTTATAAGCTCCACTACCTGTTATTTCCATACATGATCCACTTTTGACAGATTTGTAAGAAAAAAGAAACATAAACTATAACCTGCAGCACGCAAACATAGTAAAAGAATACAATCGAGTACCATAAACTCTGCATGTTCCTTACTAGCAGCGAGGTCCCACAAAACACAACCACTTTCTTCCCAAGCCTTTTCTCTAGCTGTCTTTTCACGAGGCTCGGTGTCATTATCATCAGTCCCTGCTGGTTTTGAAGGTTGTTCAAGATCAACAGGTTCAGAATTTACAGTCTATACTCGCTAAATTACCATTTAAGTTGTTCTGACCACTATCTATCTTTGGAGAGGATGCACCATTTGCCCTTTGATCATTATCTGGTCTTTGATTGGAACTACTCCATTCAGCAAGTCCTTGAAGGTCATCACCTTGTCTTTCATCAACAGGCAAAAGCTTGCGTATCAAGGAAATTATATATCTAGGATCAATGGTCGTTGTGATGTCAAAAATCTGGTCAAAATCACACAAGTATTAGGGTAACAAGAACCTCTACAAGTTAACAAGGAAACCTAAGGAGTACAGTAACTATTACTAAACTACTCATATGAAGCTGCAAATGGAAACAATGAAAAAGCATTGATAATACAACTTTCAGACTCTATAACAAAAGTAATTACTACACTAGGGAAAACGATACATAACATGAAAATCAAGGCATGAAAGTATGAAACGCGATGCTTTCTTTATTTTTCTTAGGGGAACGCGTTGCTTTCTAGACTACACTAATCAAGAGCATAATTAAAACTCAGATTAATATCATAACGTTCATCTCCATATCTTAAAGTATTTAACTATTTTTTTTGGCAGGAGCTTTCTCATACTATTATCAGATTACTCCGAAGTATAGCAATCACATAGCCCAAACAACCAATTTTTTAGTAATAACAAACAAGATCATGAAGTATTCCAATCTCCAACTGTTAATAACTGTGTAAAATTGCAATCGTGACAAAAGTTCCACAATGTTGACATGTTCAGTTTCAAATTATTTCAAGTATAAAATGCATGAAATTACAAAATTAAGCAATAAATTGAATGAATCCAAACAATAATCCAATCTGCAAAATTCAATTATGAAGCAGTAGAAATCAAATTAGGAATAGCTAAAACCCTAACTGAAAATATTGTGAGATAAGAGAGAGAAAATAGGGAAGAGAACCTCGTCGGGAGGAGCATAAGGATGATGAGTAGGACCATTATCATCATCAGGTTGAAGTTGAAGGCCTTCGTCTACATGTTCTTCTTCTGCTTCGTCAACTTCAACTCCATTTTCATGGCGGTGTTGCTGCCATTGAAGAGAGTTTGGTGTATGAGATGCTTCCAAGAGTGATTCCGGCGCCATTTCTCTGTCTTCTGCCATTCCCAGAGGTGGAAATTTTGTTGTAAGCTTTTTACTTTGGTTGCTTTGAATTGTTAGGCCCTCTTCTTTTGACCTTTTGGACAAAAGAGTGGGTTAACATAGCAGAACATATTAAATTTCAGCGGATTAAAACAGATATCAAGATGACAAACTTTTTAAAAAAATCGGATTTATAATAAAATATTATACATTCGTTATAAAGATACTCTAAAATGAGCAAAAGTTATCCTTGAAATGAATAAAAGTTACCTCAATATACATTAAAGTAACTCAATACAAATAAAAATTATCTACGCTTTATTGGTAAAGAATCACATTTTAAATATCTAAAAATCAATTATTAGTGATTGAACGTAACGTTTATAAAACTTTTCTTGTTGTCTATTCACATAAAAAAATGTGTTATATTTAAAGTTACCCAAAAAAGGGTAAAAAGTTGCCCTAAAATGAGCTAAAAGTTATCTTTATAATGCTTGATGTACACTAATATTAGTATAAATCGGGTGCATACAAAAGTTTTTCTATCAGGATAGCAGAGCAAAGCAGATTTCGACATTGTTATTAATAGTATTATGTTATAAAGTATGTTTATTGTGGATGATCATTATAGTTTGTAACTCTCTCTTTTAGGACTATTTTTAGTATGGTTGTAACATCCTTTGTAACCTTCAATATGTCTTTAATTCACATTGTAACCCCTTTATGAATGGACTCTTCATTGTCCATATAGGTTACGCTATTCACATCATGTATATATATATAAGATGGCTCATAAAATGAATGAATATAGACAACACTATTTTATAATACGTTATCAGCATCATCGCTTTAGTTATCGGGAATCGGAGGAAACATTATTGCTAGCTAGTTTGTTGCACGTATACAATAGTTTTTGTCCCGTTGAGGTAAGTGTAAATGAGTAATTACCTCCACTTTGTTTTGATTAGAGCCTGAATATTGGAGAGTATGGCTTTACCCTCTCACTCATTCTCTCTCCTTAGTCCTTACCCTATTTTGACACCTCATACTCTTTTTCATCCACCTCATTTTCCACTATCTCTTTTCTCTCTTTCATCCTCTTTAATTTATTTTTCCCACATCGAAGGGTATCCTATTGATATATATATTTTATACTATAAATATGGCCCCACCATATTATTATTGATTATTTATTATTGATTTCTTTAATGATAAGATCTAATAATAATAACAATAATTAGTATTCGATAATTAGCATAATAAAAATTACCATACTTTACCAACATTTTGATACAATAACACATGGACTTAGGAGTAAAAACACCAATTGATATACACTTAAGTACAACAAATACAAGAAATTAAAGACAAATAATTAAATATCCTCCTTTTTCCTTACCGATTACTAGTATGCCCAAATCTTGCCCACAAATGTTCTAAGCTACCAAATTTTGTTTAAGTGACATATGAGTTTGTTTATCGTGGAGATTTTCCCGTGTTTCCATTAATGTGGTTAGATTAGGATTTTGGTAGTGCGGGGTTACGGTGAAAGTCGTTGCTCTTCGGTTTGAAGTTCCTGCTAAATACTCGGGTTGTTTAGTAGCAAACTCATTAGGATCTCAATAGTTAAGATAACTTTCGCGCTCATCTTTCACGATCATATTGTGCATGATAATACGCGCCATAACAATTTTCCACGACATATCGACACTCCATGCCAAAGCAAGATGTCTTATAATGGCAAATCGAGCTTGCAACACTCCAAATGTACGTTCTACATCTTTTCCAATACTCTCTTGTTTGGTAAACAATCGTTGTTTAGGGGTTTGCGGTGCAGTTATTGCATCTATAAATGTTGCCCATTTCGGGTAGATCCCATTAGTGAGATAATACCCCTGATTATAAGTATTTTCTTTCACGGTGAACTGAATTTGTGGAGCACGACCATTTAAAATGTCGTCAAAAACGGGTGAACGTTGAAGGACATTTATATCGTTGCAGGATCCAGGTGTTCCAAAAAAGGCATGACATATCCACAAATCACAAGATGCAACAACTTCTAAGATAACCATCGTCGTTTTCGACAGCCCTTGATACATCCCTTTCCACCCCGTTGGACAATTTTTCCACTCCCAATGCATGCATGCAGTCGATACTTCCCAACATACCAACTCAGGAAAACCTCTTTCCTCTCCTTCTCTTAGAAGATGATTCATATATTCAGGGGTTGGTTTCCTCGAGTATTCTGCTGAGAATTCACGAATCACTCCGTCAACGAAGTGCGTGATACAATGCCTAGTCGTTGTTGCCCCGAGCTTGAGGTATTCGTCAACTTGATCAGCTACGCAGCCATATGCTAACATCCTTATGGCCGCTGTGCACTTTTGTATTGGAGAAGCACCCAAACGCATACTAGCATCTGGATGTTGCTGGAAGAATCGATCAGTTTTCACTTAGTTGGTACACTATCTTCATAAATAGAGGTTTTCGCATGTGAAACCTACGTCGAAACTTATCATCACCATACAATGATTGTTCGCTGAAATAGTCAGCAACCAACTGATCGTGTGTTGCTTCGCGATTACATGGTATAACTTCCCTTTGTTTTCTCTGACGTGGAACATCTTTTTGTTGTTGTTGCATGGTGGTGTTAACCACATATTTCAATGCATCTTCTATGATTTGTTGTTCCCGATTATCCTCAATAAAATCAAGCAATATGTAGTCATAGATTTCATCACTAGAAGTGGAAGAATTTGGATTGCTACTCATTTTAAAATTAGTAATATGTAGTTGTAGTTGTGATAATGAAATGTTGTAAGTGAAATAGGTCAATTTATAGACAATTGAGATAAAATTAAAGATACAAAATATGATTTGCAATATGGTAAGATAAGATTTTATTACCATAAGATAAAATTTTCTAACAGAAGATAAGATTTTGTTAATAGTGGACAAGATTTCGTTAGATAAGATCAGATTTTATGGCAGATAAGATAAGATTTTTTGGCAGATAAAATGAGATTTTTTAACAGAAGATAAGTTTTTTACTAGAGGGATAAGATTTTTGGTAGATAAGGTAAGATTTTGTTATAGATAAGAGTAATTAACATAAAATATTTTTCATGTGACAAAACTTATACAAGCTCTACTTAATAGAAAGTTATATTTTTTTTTGTAAAAACATAATATTATTACTCCAACACATAAGATTACAACATCTAATATCATTTAAAAATACATACGATTTAAATTACTACTACATACTACGTGCGATTACATCTTAAGTACTACAACAAGTCTTAAACATAATGTTAATACGTACATAACAATAACAAGAACTTAACTTGATACAAAAATGAAATAGTTAATACATAAAAATAACAAGTACTTAACTTATATATTTAAAAAAACCTGTTACTAAACTCCTCTCTAAGCTTCTTGAACATTTCGACTTCAAATTCATCGAGGATGGGTTTTGTCATCAATGAACGTAACATGCTGAATTTCATCTCCTCCTCCTTTTGCTTTTTCCTATCTTCGCTCCTTTTAGTTATCTAGTCGATCATTCGTTCTCCTTGATCAAGCCGCTTATCACTAGTTTCGTCAAAAGTTGTGTTGAAAGCTTCAACGTTTATCGATGTAGAAGAATTACTACCTTCTACAGCTAAAATCTTTGATTTTTTTTTATACCCGGAGGCCGCTTTCTTCCAGCACCCTCACTTGATGATTCTGGTTCAGATCGTTTCCCACTTCCCTCGCTCTCCAAAGGAAGCTCTTGGACCATTTGTGGGTCCCATTTAGGAAAATTTTGCATTGTTTCAAAACAATGCATCAAAGTAAAGTGTTTTCCATGATTAAGTTTTTCATAATACTCATGGGCACGTTGGACAGCGTCCACGCCTGAGTTTCCACTTTTCGGGTGTCGTAGGATATAACCGTACGCCATAACCCATTTTGAAACCCATTTGTTGATAAAATTTCAACGTTGTTGCATGGACTTAATGGTCCGTTCTCTTATCTCTTCAAGGTTCTCTCCCCGTGCCTCTTCGTATAACTTCCCAATTGCAGCCCATAAACCGGCTTTAGTTCATTTTTTATTTATGGTAACATTCCCACCGGCATTGATGTAGCCCGCAACAAGCGCCTTATCTTCAGCTATACTCCATGCACTAGCTTTTATTATCATTGGAGTCATCTCTAGTAATGTCAACAACATCATCATCGAAATCTTCTAGATGTTGAGCTTCCCGTACATCTTCTATTGGAGAGCAGTGCTACTAACATTTACTCCTGGAGATTGATCTATGGGTTGGGTAAAATGTTGGGACATGGGAAATAATGGGACATTTTGTGAAGATGAACTCCCATGAAATTGATGAGGAATTTGGGATGTATAATTCGGGTTTACAAGTCTTTAGTGGCTACCAAACCATTGCAAAGCAGCTTGAAATTGTGGATTATTGAATATATTTGGATCAAAAGGGGGAGTATTTGCATTGTATTCAGTTAGGAAATTCATATTTCTTCCATAATTAGAATTATTTGGATCCATAACAAAAGAAAATTTTAAAAATAGAGGAAAGAGAGGAAAAATATGAAAATTTGAAGTGCATAAAAAATGGCTAAAATTAGGTTCATTTTATAGAGAAAAAAAAATAAAGCTGTTGGTGAAATCAGTTTTTTTAAAATAAGTTACTGTTTGTTATTAATTACTGTTATAAGATTTTTGTGCTAGTAAAATCATGTAACAAATGTAACAAATTAAAAGATGCCACTTGTCAAGCAATGGAAGGTTGGTTTAAAAATATTGTCGTTGCATGGTCTTCGCCATTTTGTAGTTCTGATGTTTGTATCAGATGATTTATTGTTTCCTTTTTTTTATTTAACAAAATGTCGTCGTTTGTTTTGTTGTTTGCTTGAAACGCTGCATTTATTCATCCTCTTGGCGCGATAGACGAGGTGCAATTTCCTTCAACAGAAGAGCGAGGATTCATGAGCATCCTCCTCCCCTTTAGGATCCTCAATAATTCCTAGCATCAGAAAGGATATGTCCACGTAAGCAAAAACCACCTTCAAGAGGACATATATCCTCTCCAATATTCATGCTCTTAGAATCATTTAAATAATAATAATAATAATAATAATAATAATAATAATAATTGGTCCTTTTATTCGTTAGTGTCAAACTGCCAAATTACAACACAGTGGCGGAGCCACTATAGGAACATGGGGGGACATCTATCCCCCCATTTTTTTTTTTTTTTAAAAAAAAATCAGCTTTTTTTTATAAAAAAAATTAAAAATTTGAACGTTAAAAGGAAAACCGTGACTTTGGAAGCTTGAGTAAAGTCAGTAAATAAAACAAAAACCCACAAAAGTGACAAAACATTGTCAGAGTATTTGTCCCCCACTATATTCACTAAAGTCTAAATTCTAAAACAAAAAGTTCTAAAACCAAAATTAGGGAAAAAGCAAATCGACCTTCGTGAGTTCGTGACCAACAAACCGGAGTACCGGACCACCGGGGTGGCGACTAGACCACCGATGAGTCGACAACCATAGCATCGAACTTCTGTTGCGTATTGTTCCTTCACTTTCCCAACGTCCCCAATTTAATTTCAAAGTCAGTTATAACCCCGCATTCCGATCAAAAAGGCATGCATTGGGTTAACAAGGATACTATGCATCTCCCTCGCGGACTGGGGGGCTTAGGAATTCGCTGCATGTCTTCCTTAAATAAGGCGTTATTAATGAAGCAGGTCTGGAGACCCTTTTCCAACCCGCAGCTGCTAGTCTCCAAAGTTTTTCGTGCTCGAGCGTCCTTTCTTTCCAACAACCCCAGCACTCGGACCCTATATTCTGGTCGTTATTCTTATGGCCTTCGGGGGTTACTAAAGGCGAACGCTCTTTTGAAACAAGGTTGCAGCTGGAAAATTGGCAATGGTTTGTCTACTCCAGCTGGCTCTGCTCGGTGGGTCAATGGGTGCATTCCGGAGTTCAAACCTGGTATTTCTTTGCCAAATTTGGCTCCTCATAATGTCATTTTTTTCATCAATCATCAGACGATGGGGTGGGATACTGCTAAAGTTGTCGCCTCCTTTGTTCCTGCGGATGCTTCCTCTATCCTGGTACTGGAGGCCCCTAATACAGCTCAGGAGGATTTTTGTTATTGGGCGGGTACTTCTTCTGGGAAGTACTCGGTTAAAACTGGTTATGCTATGCTTCAACAACAACTTTATTCTACTTCCACACATTCTGCTACTGACTCTTTCTGGAAGATTCTTTGGTCTCTCCCGTTACAACCAAAATGGAAGTTGTTCTTATGGAAACTGCTACACCGTGCTCTTGCGATCAAGGTGGAGCTCTATCGCAGAGGAGTTCCGATTCAAGACGTTTTTTGTGACCTCTGTCGTTCGGAACCAGAGGATTTACAACACTTATTTAGAATGTGCGTTACTGCTCGATCGGTTTGGAGGGGTGGATGTCTTGGCATTCACTCAGAATTTAATGGAGACCTTTCTCTTTCAGATTGGATCCAATATTATATCCGACTTTTTATCAGTCTGGATGGTCCTTCTAGTACTCGCCTGGGTGCCTTTGTTGGTACGCTTTGGACCTTGTGGTTAAGTCGTAATTCTAGAATCTTTAGGGATTCTTCGGCGTCTCGACCTTTTGATTCTTTATTAGCAGAGGTCATGGATAACCACTCAATCTTCGTCAATTCGGAAGCCCCTGCTAGTTCTCCTAATGAGGCGGGTGTAGTGGCTGGTGACTCTTCTCCGCCTGGGTTTTACATGGCTCAGCTTGGCCGACCCCCAGGGGAGCCCTTTGCTTTCTCTTCAAGTAGATGGCTCATGGTTTAAGGATTCTCAACTTGCTGGAATGGGATGGTGCTTGGATAATGATGGCCCCCTGGATGATCGGATCAGTGGTGGAAGTAACTACGGGGTTTGTTCCTCAGCTTTACATACTGAAGCATTGGCATGCTTGTATGGGCTTCAATGGGCTTTTGACCGAGGGTTTCTATTTCTCAAGTTGTTAACTGATTCATATAATCTTGTCTCCCTGCTTCGTGAGGAGGGGCAAGTTAATGTTGCTTATATATGGCTTATTCGGAGAATTTTACAACTTGGATCGTCCTTCCGGGTATGTAATATTCATAAGGTTCCTCGTCACCGCGTCCACAAAGATCATCAGATTGCAGGAGAAGCGGCAATTCACTCTATTTGCTTTAGTATTAATATGTAATTTTTTGTATCCTTTGTCAAAAAAAAAATCCCTAATTTTATTAAAATCAGATTTTTGTATTTTTTTTGTTGTTTAATTGTTTATGTTATTGTCTATTTAATTTTCTTGTTCCATTAAACTATTGTTGATTTCTTGAATGTTGATTGTTGCTTATAATTTGTTGAATGAGTACTCTATACTTGAGTTTTTATGTGAGATTTTTTAGAAATTTTAAGTTAATAGTGTTTTTTTTGTTTTGTCCCTAATTTTGTGTTGTTTAATTGTTGTATGGGTTAGAAATTTGGTGTGTTAGAAAATTGACTATTTGGTTGAATAATTGTCTTTATATAGTTATGGTAATTGATAAATTTATATAGGTAATTAGTTTCTTTTTTTCTAATTTATAGGATGTCACAACTCAATCTTCGACAATTTATGTCTAAAAGAATGAAATTCCAAGATATACCCCCTTCATTTAGTACTCCCCAAACTCAAGAAGATGATATGGAAATTGGTGGTTCAAATGCTAGTAATGTAGAGCCAGAGGATGAGAATTGGTATATGATGTGGAACTTCTTCCTCATGATCCCAGGAAAAAAATGAACATTATGGATTATCCCCCTAATCAAAGAAATGCATTTAGAAGAGGTTACATTCTCAAACAACCTTGTCAACCAAAAACCCATGATTTTCCTAAAAGACAAGTGTCCGGAATGCGTCGTTTTAGTGTTAATTGGTTTTAAAAATGTGATTGGCTTGAATATAGTATTGACTATTGAGAAATATGTCGCCTTTTGCTTTGTATGCTACTTGTTCAAAGGTGAAATTGAATCAATTGCGAGAGGGTGATGCATTTCTACATGGTGGGTTTAGGCATGGAATAAACCGGAAAGATTTGAGAAGCATTTTGGGGGTAATAATAGTGCTCATAATGTTTCTTATGAGAAGTATGTGAATTTAAGAGATGGGAAAAGGAAATCAAGTGTGAATGTGTTAGAAAAGGCAAGTGATGTGGCTAAAACACAATATTTTAATCGTTTGAAGGCAACTTTAACTTTCTTGAGATTTCTTTTAGGGCAAGGTTTGACATTTCGTGGACATGATTTCTAAATTGTAAGGTTTGATTATTCTGTTTATAAAATAATTAGCAAAACATGATTTTTCAAGGATATAAATAGCCATGAATCCATCTTCTTCCTCCAAACTATCTCCTCCTTCTTTCCTCTTCATTTTCTTTCTTTCATTTTGCTTCTTTCTTTCATTTTTTTTCTTGATCGTGAGTTGGCCGGAGTTTCACTTTACCGCTGCTCAACCACCACAACGCTACCGCCATTGCCGCCGCCTACCGTCGACGGCCACCGACCACCAAAAGTGCAGCCCCCTCCTTCCTTGAGTTGCTCACCGTAAGCCACATATTTCTCATTCTAGTACTACTACTAATACTAGTTAGTAATACTACTTCTTCTTCTACTACTACTACTACCACTACTACTATTAAGTACTAGTAGTACTACTACTACTTCCTATATTATTATTATTGTACTACTACTACTTCCTATATTATTATTATTATTATTATTATTATTATTAGTAGTAGTAGTAGTAGTAGTAGTAGTAGTAGTAGTAGTAGTAGTAGTAGTAGTAGTAGTAGTAGTAAGACTACTACTCCTTATTACACTACCTACTAAACTACTTTATGCTAGACTACTACTACTCACATATACTACTACTTAGGAAGTATTACTACTACCTTATTATTATTATTATTATTATTATTATTATTATTATTATTATTATTATTATTATTATTATTATTATTTCATAAATACAAGTGTTAATTTTATAAAAGGGTTATAATAATAAGCTGTTCATGCATAACTAGTAAAGTAAATAGTCTAAGTCATTGGGTCTATGAGTTAAAAAGTATTTGATTAGGATTATTGGTTTGTTGTAGGAGGAATTTCCGGTTCGTAACCAGGAACCCTGTGTTTGTTTTGCAAAGGTCAAGGTACGTACACGTGGCTAGATCTTTTATAAAGTGACTTTTATATGCAACGTTGTTTACATGTTAAGTGATTTCGAATCATATTTAAATGATTGCGAAATATATTTCGGTGAAACATGTTTTAAGTGTTTGATCTCAAATGTTGAAATATTTTATATGGTTGATTACCAACTTGTACTAATATTAAAGATGTTTAAAAAGAAAGTTTTATTGTTTAAATTAACCCGAGTATGGGATATTGGAAAGTTTACTTAACACGATTTATTCCTTGGATCTTTGGATTTTAACTCCCACTATGCGGAGTAAGTTGAAGACTATGGACTTTGTATGACCTAGTCTTTCCCCTTGATAGCACTATGTAAAGGAGTTACTAGCTTGGTGGGTGTGCACACTTAGATGGGAAAACGATTTATGAAAATATGGATTGATCCACCCTATTCGGAATTATCTTTGGAAATTTGGCTATTTTAGAATTTGGTTCTTTTGACAAGCTTTTATACATGAATTTCTATTTATGAATGTTTTGGATAAATTATGATTTATTAAAGTTAAATCTCTTCGAAAGCGTGTTTAATGAATTAAATTGATTTACATGTGTAGCATTTGTATGTACTTAACATTTTGGCTAATACGTATTTGTTTTGTTTTTGCTTGGCCATACTTATCATTTTGATAAGTAGATAGGTAATGACAATCGGACAATGTGAACTATATGCTGCATTGGAAACGATGGGCGGTGATCACCTAGTTCAATTTAGTAAACATAGTATTAGTGTATGTTGTAGTTACTTTGGAAGTGTTTCAAAATTATTACTATTACTATTATTATAGATCCTTTCCCTTTTAAGACCCAGAACATGGGTTACTATTTCAAATCTACAGTGTAGTGACGGTTATGCCCTTGTTTTTTTTTCCTTATTTTCCTTGTTGATTGACTTCAGTCTTTAACCCTGAATCCCTCATTCTTGCTTTTTCCCCTTTTCATGCTCTACCATTCATTTCTTCCATTTGCTTTCTCTCTCCTTTGAACCGGTCTTTCCCACTCTCACTCCGTCTCTCCTTTCTCACTTCCATTTCGAACTATTTTTGTAGTAGTGATTCAAGAAGACCATACATAACAATCATACATCAATTCACTTTTAATCTTATTTAAGACAATGGTGATTGATTAGGGGATTTTTCCCCACCAATCACCATCTGACAAGTGGACCAATCAGGTTCCGCCATGTGTCCGTCACATGGGCCAATAGGAGCCTGTCACGTGTCAAGCAATGATCCGTCCACTATGGACCAATTACGACACGACACGTGTCCTTCCCATGACACCTGGGATAACCGGTCACCTAGGCCCAACTTCCGTGGGAAGCCCAATCAGCCCAAGGTTAACCTAAACCTAGATTGGCACGTTTCCCGAGGTTATAAATACCTCCCTTAATCCTCATTAAGGGAGATTACGCAGATTACACACATTAAACTCTCTCACCTAGAGAGACCCAATCACTTTAATTTCCGCATTAATTACTCCTTAATCAAGTACTAACTTGACCGTCGGAGGCGGATCTCCAATCATCAGGAGCATCCGTTTGTTTTGCAGGTACAGGCTTCTGGTTCCAGTCTCGGAATTGTAACTCTCCCGCAGGACATCAGAAAACCCCGAAACATCTTGGCGCCTTCTGTGGGGAGAGTACTTCTGAGATGGCATCCACGTTTGTACCGGCTCCTTAAGAGAGACGTCCCCTGGACGACCCTCTAGTTCAGTCGGACCACGATACTGAGAATGAATTTGAAGTTGAAGCTCACACAGCTTCAGACGGGACCCTAAGGGCCCGACGTACCCATCATACCGAAAGGAGGGAACGGGAACATCTTCAAACTGGAAGCGAGCCAGCAGGCGCACCGCCTGTTCGGCAGCAGCCGACTGATGGGTCTGCTCCCATCACAAGGAACGAACTCAAGACCTTCATGAGGGACTTCAAGGGAGAAATTCAAGAGTTGATCAACAAGAAATCGCCTGCTCTGGACAAGGAGCAGTCGGCTAAGAAACCCTCCACTTCACGGAAGAGGAAGCCAGTTCAAGGGCGAGAGGCGACCCCTCATCCTAAATCTAGGAAGTGGGAGCCACCTGCCCTTGATTTCACAAAATACCGTTTTCCTACTCCAGGAAATAGGAAACCTGTTCGTCATATTCAGGCGGACGGGTCGAGGAAAACATACACAGACGCTCGGCTACTGCTAGAGCAGAAGAAGAGTGACCGATTGTCAGAGTCGGCCTCTACTTCAAACTTTCAAGACAGTCTGCGAAATGCCTCGATGAGGCATACTCAGTCGTATCATGAGAGTCAGTCAGGCGGCACCTCCCGTCAGTCCGGCTTTCATAGCGACCAGGCGGTACCAAACTTACCATTTGTGCCGCAACAACAGTATTTTTTGCAGCCACCTCCGTTTGGTGGACCTGCAGCAAAAACGTCCAACCTATGGACTGGCAGCTACGGTTGCTTAGACTTGGTGAACAGCCGTCGGCCTTCTCCAAGGAAATTACTGAAGCCGCTCAGCCGGCCAAAGTGAAAAATGTACTAGTAGGCGCCTATGACGGCACTACTAACCCAGAAGACCATGTGATGGCATTCACCA